CACATAATGTTTTTTTTTAATAAGAACACATAGGCGAATCGTTGTAGAGACAACACGTAGGATTTTTGATTTTGCAAATAATAATATAGATAGCAATCGATATTTGCTATTGAACTTAATAAATTGGCATATATATATAAAAACACTACATAATATTAAGTCCTAACTTTCACACAACAATATCTTTAAAAAACATATAATAGCATACAAAAAAGCGCTATTGTAGACTGCCGACCTATTATAGCTTCTCCAGTAATAGCGTTTAGAGTAACACTATTTAACACGTTTAATAGCGTTATGCGTGAGTTAAGAATGTGCATATTTCTTGTAGTGGAGTTTTTCTTTGTTTCGGTGGCAATACATACTCTTAATCACCATTAAATTCAAGTTATTGTTAGGAAGGGGAGAAGAAACATGCTGAGCAATATCTAGCTCGTGAATATATTGAAACAAATGAAAAAGATTTAATTTATTGTATAAAAAGAAAATAAAGACATTAATTCCATATATATAAAACACTTATGTAAAATTATAGACGAAAATAGATCATAGAAATAATCATCTAGTAAAGACAAACAACTTCTGTTTTATATTGAAAACGGAATTTGATAAACATCTTATCATGTTTCTAAAAAATAATTAAAATCTGAAAAGATCACTGATCTTGGCTTCATTGGCGATCACCATATCTTCTCTCGATACTGCGGCTAATCTTTTGCAATTCAGATTCAATGTAACGACGATTTACAAGGTCTTGATGTATCTCGTAACAAGTACGTGCCGCATAAGACAATAACGTGATCAAGAGGCAGAAGATGATGATGACGCAGATTCGTTTAGAAGCCTTTGTCATGACTGATGGAAGAGATACAGACAAGAGCCGGTTATGTTTTTTTTTTCTTAAACAAAAGACTTTGGAAAGACAAAGAGGTTAGGGTTTTTTTCGTGTAATAAATCGAGAGAATGTGATTATGAGTGTGTGCTCATGTGTTTATATATATAGAAAAATTAAGTGGAGAAGAGAAACCGACCTTATATATATATATTTTTTTTACGAGGGCAAGGTTTTTCCTTTTTTATTACTGTTTCATGAGTAAAATTTATTTTTTCAGTTAACAAAAAGGAAAAGGAAACAACATCTCAACGGTTACTTAGTTACTAGTTAGATACGATTGATGAGCAAGCTTACTTAATTTTTGGCCGTATTTGAGTGGGTTTGTACGATTAGGGTTCCAGGATTACTAAAATAATTATTTTTCTACAAAACGTAAAATTCATTTTTCTGTCATAACATATATTTTGTTTAGATTAACAACTAATTTAAAATAGTTAAGAGTTAACATTAAAACTTAAAGAAGGGTTATTGCGAGGTTGATTTATGCAGATTTTTAGAGTTTAAGTGAGACACCTACTCACTCTTGCTTGTTCCATAAAATGACTAGGACTGTCTTGCCATCGATTTGTTCAGTCTCCAAGTATAGAGCATCTGCTAAACCAAGAACTCTTTAATCTCCAAAACTTAACGTAGCTTATTTTTCACTCACTTAACAGCTTTTCAAATAAATATAAACTCATTAAATATATTTAAAACTAGGAAAACTAAAAAGAAAGTTTTAATTGAAAACAGTAATTCAAACTTAGAAAAATAAAGCAGCGTATAAATATTTAGAAATATAAATAAAATGAAACACTCTTTTGTTTCCAGAACAGCACCAATGTGACTTCAACTCGAGTGTACACGAAGAACTTGTTGGGGTCGGTTTCCACCCCAGCTGAATTAACTATTTCAAAATGGCTGTGTCAAAAGGCATTGACAAACCCGAGCCCTGTGAAGAGGCAAGCCGAGCCCGTCTATAAAGTAGGATGGGCCAAGCTCTGGAGCGATATGGGCCGAGCCCTAGAAGCAGCATGGGCCGAGCTGTGCAAGAGAGAACGAGGCCGAGCTGTGCAAAAAGGAGAATGGACCGAGCCGCTACCTTTCGCAATTGGACCGAGCTGATTCTTCCCAGATGGGCCAAACTAAAGTCTTGAAGGACGAAAGCCCATAAAAACCCTAGGCGAGGCATTGTGACGGTGGCCGCATGAAGCGATAAGAAAATATTCCAAAAATCTCTCCCGATATTCTCGGCTAGGCGGTTAGAAAACTAGTATAAATAGACAATGTACGCAATTCATTCTGTAACTTTTCACAACTCGAGAGAAATAAGAGTTAAACATTTTTCCAGCAAAAAACCTTCTTTTGATCTTACTGTTCTTGCTATAAACCGTAGAGATTTCGGATCCCTTAAGTTCTCCTTAACAAATTCTTGGTTCTGCGAGTTTTGGCTCACAAAGAACTCACCTGAAAAAGAGAAAGAGAGGTGAGTAACAAGTTACTCAGTGAGAACGATCCTACCAGTCCACTTGATCTATACAAAGAATTAAACATAACCACATATATGTCTATATAACCTAAGATTAGACGGAAACTTTGACAGAAAGAAACAGACACAAATCTCTTATCATACCTCAGAAAAGGGATCGGAAGGTAGATCTGAAAAGATGGATTCAACAGCCTCTTTTTAAACTTCTCCGATCGCCGGCAAAACACTTCCAAAGTTGGCTTCTCGCGAATCTGATCTGTGCAAATCTGCTTCGGAAAAACACACATAACTTTCAAACTACAACTACAAATGCAGATCTGCTAGCGGCTATAGCTAGATCGCAGAATCTTGAATATTTTTACTACTTTTCAGGCCGATCCGATGCGATTTACCTGTTCGTTTCTCTCTTATGCCAGAACAGTTTAGATATGCCTCTTAGATGGCTACAATGGCTTCTCCTTTAAGGTGCTTCTCCACAACATAGCTCTCTGGTCTCTTATAGGTCATGGATCCTCTATTTATAGAGTGGAGAGGAAAGACTTCTTGATTAGGTTTTCTGAGTAAATGTCCTATTTTCCCCTTTATAAGTCCTTTTGGCTTCACGTATTGGGGTTCACACATTCTCCTTATAGAGCCACGAAAATGAGTTTATGATCTCTGGAAACTTCTTCAAAATGGGCTTTAATACTTCCTTCCACTCATGGGTTTTTCTTAGCCCGCAACAAGCCCGACTCCTCGCCTAATGATTCATTCGGTCCTCTACTTAATTTCATTCATTATAGGTTCCACTTTTTCTTCAGCCCAACTTAGAATGAAGTGAACCTTGTCCCAATTTACTTTCAATCGAGAATTCCAAACTGACACATCGCTTTCTAGTTTAGACTTTCTTTTTCAAAAAGTTAGGGTTTACACTCTAGGGTTTAATCTAAAAAAAAAGCCATAATTTTGATTCTTGGGATGTCTCATTAAGATTCTATAGTTATTTGTTTGTGAATTTTTACATTCTTAATAGAATTTGTTTTTATTTTTTTATGGATTATAAAAGTTTTTAAAAATCTATTATTATTGATTTGATGATTTTTATAATCTAATATAAATATATTGTTATTCAAAAAGTTTGTATTTTTTAATGTTTCTATGATTCTGCTAAAATTTAGTGTTATTGGGATAAAGATTCTCTACAATTTAACTCATAATTCATGATTTTCAAAACACTAACTATATCCGTTAGATTCTCAAAATCTGTCATATTATAGATATTTTGTGGATTGTTTGAATCCACAAAACTCTCTGCAAATTTTACAAATCTAACAAAATTCTTAAAGATTTGACAAATCTCATGACTTTTAAAATCAACCAAAATATTTATAAATCTAACTCCCAATAAATTACCCTTAAAGTATGATTAGATCAAAGCAGGGGTATTTTGTTAATTTCTTATTAAAAATATTTTGATGGTGATGTAAAAATGATAAAAAAACAAATAAATGTTCTTTGAGATGAATCATACAAATGAACAACCGAAAATAGAAACAAATATCATTCAGATGTATAATCCACATGGATCATTTAAATGGATCATTTGAATGTAAATGCAAGATGAACAAACGAACATGGTCTTAATATATCTGTTGTGCTTTGATATTAAGTGCATTCATCACATCAAGTCTTCAGCCAACTCCTCCCCCACCACCACAAGCAAGGCCTAGGAAGAGGAAGCAATCTGATTTTGATGGGGACTTAGTATTAGATAACCAGTAATAAATTTTCCACTATTTCATTGTGAATTTGGTTATTTTGTCACTTGGTTAGTTTGGTCCTGCCTTCGTGTCTGCCAGGGTTGTTATGTTGAGCTTTGGTTCAGAGTTTCATGGTTTTGAGCTTAAGAGTTTTATGATTTAAGCCATCCTTTCCCTTTTCTCATATTCTATCTTCTTGTTTGTTTCTATTTCTATCAGAGCTACGTCTCCCTTAGGTCAGCTATGCTTCCGGGGTTTTCTTATTTTTGCCGGCTCTTTGTGTAGTAAAAGCGCATTCCACCATTGTATCTTTCTTTTGTATTATATAATGAGAAATTCAGACAGTAAACAAAAAGCGGACAATCTACAGTACCTATGAGTGGCAATTATGGAGGTGATACTGATGCTAAAATGGCTTATGAGGCAGAACCAAACAAGGAGCCTAGAGACTTCAATGTTGGTCTGGATACTGGAACCTAAGTTGTTCTTTGTAGCTTGACAAAAGCGCTCAATCCCAGACCCGAGAGAAGCAATGCTAATTCTCCTGCAAGTGTTCCGGAGACTGAGGTAAGGTGTGATGCTGCACATGATTTAAGCGCTCCACCATTTGCTGCAGAACAACAGAATATCACTGAATCTTTAGATGAAACTTCGAATGACCAAGAGCACACTATACCTTATATTGATGAACAAGTGTTACTGTGTTCGATTCTAGAGGACGTTAGGATCTCCAGGTTTTAGTGCTTCTCAGGAAGCAGATGAAAAATTTGGTGAGTTAAATAACATAAGTCTGATAATTTTTATATTTAACAATTATGTGTCTTATTTGATTTACTTGTAAAGAATACGATTAGTGTCAATCACAAAGAAAGGCGCCGAGGCATGCATGAGCGAGAGCAGCCACACAATCTGTTTCATCAAACGCCTTTTTCCCGGATTCGCGCGAGTTTGAAACAGAGCGTGGAAGGATGGAGACGGCTCTGCTCCGGTACTGCGTCAGTTTCTCCGGTCATCATCCCTACCACAAGCAAATCGTATCTCATCACAGAGCCAATGGTGAGATTCCGGGACCGAAGTCGAGTCCCGAAGACGAACGGTGTGCTAAGGTTTTGAGTAGAAGATCGGTAATGGTGTCTTCTGGTTTCTCCTTGGTCTCGTCGACGACGGCTTTAGTGCTTCCAGGGGAAGGATTGGCGGTCGTGAAACAGGGTCTTCTCGCCGGGAGAGTTCCTGGTCTCTCCGAACCTGATGATGAAGGTTCGTGTCTCTCTTCTCCTGGATTGGTTAGATAAAGATCTTAATTATTGGAAACGCAACCGAAAGTTTAAAACTTTGCAATTGAGTCAATGATTTAAAATATGATCTTACTTAGTATCTTCTTATTTAGGGTGATACCATTGAATCATAAATCTTTAGGCTTTAGACATTGATTCTGAGGACCTTTGTGGTGTTGTTGAGTTTGTGGGTGAAACGTAATTGCAATGCTCAGACAGGTTGGAGAACATACCGTAGGCCAGACGAGAAGTCAGGAGGGCATGGCGTTGGTTGGAGTCCTATTATCCCTTATGCCTTCTCTGTTCCTCAAGGTTGGAATGAGGTTTGTTGACTCTGCTTCTCTGTTTCTTTTCTTTTTTCCAATTTTGCAATGCTTTAGTCATATGTATATCTTTAAGATTCTTTTTTTTTTGTTTTGTTATTATAACCATTGCTATATCAATTTAGGTGCCTGTATCGATCGCTGATCTTGGTGGCACTGAGATTGACTTGAGATTTGCTAGTCCTAAAGAAGGCCGCGTGTCTGTAATTGTCGCTCCCGTTCTAAGATTTGCAGATAGTAAGTCTTCTCTGCCATTAAAGATTCCTACAAAAATCCAAGTCTTTTGATTTAGAGAATCAATGCAATCTGGTCTAATTTGTATAGAACTTAGTTTGATTTTGTGTGTTAAGGTAGATCAATTTATAGAACTCACCAGGCAATCATGAACCGTTTTACAAATGTTTCTTGTTATGTTTCAATGTCTTTATTCTGGCTACAAGATTCCTACGTTTCCTGTGTAATGATGATTGGTTCACAAATTCGTTTGACAGACCTTGGGGATGACGTGAAGATTGAAAATATTGGAACACCAGCGAAGGTGATCAACGCATTTGGACCAGAAGTCATTGGAGAAAACGTAGAAGGGAAGGTGTTAAGTTCAAATGTAGCAGAGCACGATGGCAGACTCTATTACCAATTCGAGCTAGAGCCACCTCATGTAGTGATCACTGCAACTGCTGCTGGAAACCGCCTTTACTTGTTCAGTGTCACCGGAAACGGTGAGTCAAAATATTTCTTCCAGTCGCAGTCTCTATGATACACATAATTAAAAACTGGTTTGCTTATGTTTGATTCTACAGGGCTTCAATGGAAGAGATACTACAAGGATCTGAAGAAGATAGCTACTTCGTTTCGCATTGTTTAGAGGCATTTGCCAAAAGTCTTCTTTTTGATACATGGGTTCTTCTATAAGTGGCTCAAGAGTTTATGGATGATCAGTCTCGTACATAATATATTTTGTATACAGTTGAGAATCCTGTAATTTTACAGTAATCCAAATACGAGCAGTAAACTAAGTTTGGCATAGGGTCTTCTCGATTTGGATTCATCAGAAAACGGAACCTCGTGGTTTGTCTATGGCCTTATTGGTAGGAATCCATTTGTTGCAGTGAGTCAGATATATAGTTCCCTCTTTGTGACTTACTTGCTATGGAAGCAAAGCTTCTGCACTGAGTTTTGAGATTAAATGGATTCGGGTATGGATTAAGGGACGTTGCAACTGATATTGTACTTGGTATACTTCAGAAACAACAAAGGGCGAGAAGAATAAAAGACCAACAAATTAGTTGTTTTGGACTGAAAATTGGTAGGCCACTAGGCCCATATAGTTAGCTCAAATAAAACTTGGTAAAACTAAACTTTACTATTTAACAATTTACCATTTCAAAAGTAGACAAGATCTCCACAAAATCATAACGCTTTGTAAAACATGACAACTTGAACACATTTTATCTGGAAACGAACAACATACAGTGACTGACTTGTGTTTCTAACCAACTGAGTTAAATGACTAAATCAGCTCTCGACCAATTCTTGGCTCACTTTAGGTCCCGGTTTAGTACTAGCAATTGAAATCTTCAGCTTCATTAAACCAACAACACACACGACAAGATAAGACCAGGAAGTACGTAACCAAACCTCACTTTAATAAGTGTTGGTCCATTTATCGGCCTCGGTTTTCTCGTCTCCACACTCCAATTAAACGGCACGATAGAGAGAAGAGAAGACTTATCGAGAGGAGCTTCCAAGAATGTCGATGCTAATGGCAGCCAAAACCACTTCCCTCTGCAGCACTTTAAACCTGACGGCTTCACCAAGAATCCGAACCACGAATCCTCGCGCGGCGAGATCGGTGAATCCGACGGCGAGAATCCAAACACGCATTCATCGTTTGATTGAAGACCAAGGCATTATCCTCATGCCTGGATGCTACGACGCCTTATCGGCCGCCATCGTCCAGCAAACCGGATTCTCCGCCGGTTTCATATCCGGTTATGCACTCTCCGCTTCTCTTTTGGGAAAACCCGATTTCGGTTTGCTAACGTGCGCCAGTGACTCTCTCTCTCACTATCTTTCTTTTATTCGTTTTTTGTTTCTATGCTGCCGTTTTATTTGTTTTTCTTTTGTCGTTTTAGACCCCCGGAGATGGCTGCGACGGCAAGGTCCGTGTGTGCTTCCGCTCCAAATATACCCATCATTGCAGATGCCGGTAAAGTTTCTAATTTTGGAGTAAAGTTTCGAATTTTACTGTAAAGTTTAGAATTTGGTAGTAAACTCAATCAAAATCGGTAAACAAATTAAGACATAACAGAAGCGTATTGTTTCTTTGATTAGAGCATGACTGAGATGAAATGAAACTATCCATAGCTCTTTCAGAAAAGGGAGTTCTTGGTCATGTATCCATAGCTCTTATCTTAGGAATCTGATCTGTTTCAGATACTGGTGGAGGAAATGCGCTAAACGTTCAAAGAACTATAAAGGATTTGATCGCAGCTGGTGCTGCTGGTTGCTTCCTTGAGGTAAATTCTGACTCTGATTCGTTGATGAATTTCTCTATCTCATAACTGTTCAAGGCTCTTGACTACTCCACAAGTAAACCTTTTTAAAATCAGATAGAGCATTTATTAGTCTTGTGTACTGCATTTTACATGTTCATTTAACATTTTGTTTGGTTATTCTTCGTAGGACCAAGCGTGGCCAAAGAAATGCGGTGAGTGTGTCATACTCTTCGGTTTCTTCATATTCGAAGTCACTGTTCAAATGTTATTCATAGTCACTCATTGGATACACTTTATGGTCTGGATGTCTTTTCGTGTAGGTCATATGCGAGGCAAACAGGTTATATCAGCAGAAGAACACGCTGCCAAGATAGCATCAGCCAGAGACGCTATCGGAGATTCTGACTTCTTCCTTGTCGCTAGAACAGACGCACGTGCTACTTCTGCTAAATCAGGGCTTGAAGACGCCATTGCGCGTGTTAATCTCTACATGGAGGTACCAAATTATGATAAAGTAATTAAAAAACAGAAATGGTATCAAATGTAATAAATATATTTGTCTTAATTGTGAAGGCGGGAGCGGATGCTTCCTTTGTGGAGGCACCAAGAGACGATGATGAGCTCAAGGAAATTGGAAAGCGCACAAAGGGTTTCAGAGTTTGCAACATGATTGAAGGCGGAGTCACGCCATTGCACACCCCTGAGGAGCTTAAAGAAATGGGATTTCACTTGATTGTTCACCCGTTGACAGCACTCTATGCATCCACTCGAGCTCTGGTCGATGTTCTCAAGACTCTTAAAGAAAAAGGAACCACGCGAGATCACTTGCAAAAGATGGCTACTTTTGAGGAATTCAACAGCTTGGTGGATTTAGAGTCATGGTTTGAGCTCGAAGCTCGCTACTCAAACCTGAGGAACGCTCTTGGGACGACAACAAAATCATGAAGAGGCTGCTCCTACAGAGACCCAAGCCTTTTTTTTTTTTTTTTTTTCTCAAATCTCTCGCAAGCGTCTTTTGTTTGCTAATTTTTCAGACGATTATTTGAGCAATTGGCTCATCAATAATGTAACTTTTGCAGTCGTATAGAAATTCGTATTTCCACTTATAATGAACATTGTCCTGAGCAAAAAACAAAAAAACAAAAGTGATCTCCATGCTTGTTTGATTATTGAAAATAAAAATGTAAAATTGAAAATCAGCTTAAAAACTGAAAATCTTTTCAAAAGTTGTTTCGCCAACCACATAAGTCAAAGCAACATAATATTGGGCTTGGACAATGGTAAGTATAGGCCCAAAAGTAAGCCAAGCCCACGAAAGGGTTTTATGTGTCGTTAAACCCTAAACCTAACTTACCTAAAAACTCATCACGGGTGAGTTAGTCATCTTCTTCGTTAACAAACCCTAAAGTTTGGGGATTCGCTGCAGATCCTCAGAAGCGGCGCTGATCTCTCCGGTAACTCAGATTTACCATGGTTGAAGGAAAAGGGTTCCTTGTGAGCTCAATTACTGAGCTTCACCGGAAAGAGAAACAGAAGAAGAAAGGAAAATCTGGAGGATTCGAGTCTCTAAACCTTGGTCCTAATGTCTTCAATGCAATCAAGAAGAAAGGGTACAAAGTTCCTACACCAATCCAGCGGAAGACGATGCCGCTCATCCTCTCCGGCGTCGACGTCGTCGCCATGGCTCGAACCGGTTCCGGAAAAACCGCAGCTTTTCTTATCCCTATGCTTGAGAAGCTCAAGCAACACGTGCCTCAAGGAGGTGTTAGGGCGCTCATCTTGTCTCCTACTCGTGACTTAGCCGAGCAGACTCTGAAGTTCGCTAAGGAACTCGGAAAGTTTACAGGTTGAGTTTTCGTATTTTCAGAAACTTCTGCACTGATGGAGTTATGATTGTGTTTATGGTGTCTGAAGAATTCGACTTTAACCTAATTTCAGTTTTTTAAAAACATTTGTTTCAATTCTGTTTTAAACAACTTTTGATTCCTTTATTGTTTCAGATCTTCGTGTTACCTTACTGGTTGGTGGTGATAGCATGCAAGAGCAGTTTGAAGAGTTGACAAAGAGCCCTGATGTGATTATTGCAACGCCTGGGAGACTTATGCATCTTTTGGAGGAGGTAGATGATATGTCACTTAGGACGGTTGAGTATGTGGTTTTCGATGAGGCAGACAGTCTGTTTGGTATGGGTTTTGCCGAGCAGTTGCATCAGATCTTAGGTCAGTTAGGTGAGAACAGGCAGACTTTGCTTTTTAGTGCTACCTTACCAAGTGCACTTGCAGAGTTTGCAAAGGCTGGTTTGCGTGAGCCTCAGCTTGTTCGGTTAGATGTTGAGAACAAGATTAGCCCGGACTTGAAGCTTTTTTTTTTCCAATTTCCTTTTGCGAAGTGACATACAGACATCCCTGGCCATCGGAGGTGGCATTGCATGAATCATAATCATCTTATTTTTCTTCAACGTTCAACAATACAGAAAAGAGATGGTGGCTTGATTAATAATAATGTCAACAATGTTTTTTTGAAATGGAATAATCAAAAAGGAGGCATTGAGATGAATGAATGATATAAAGCACTGAGTGGACAGTTAAAAAGAGAGAGTGAAAGTGTGGTAGCTCCCGCTAAAAAGCGGCGCAAATTAGTTTTATTATAAAAAAAAATTTGCATAACTGTAAAGACATCTCTTTTTTTCCTTCTTCAAGCAGATCACACACCGTCTCTTGTGTCCAACTTCTTCTTCCCCACATCTCCTAAAAGCTTCACTCACAGACACCAAACTAACCTTTCTTTTCTTATCTACACAAAAAGTCACACATCTTACTTTTTGGGATAACTCCTCAAATCTCTCTAGCTTTGATCCGATCATGGTGAAGGAAACAGTCTACTATGATGTTCTTGGTGTCACTCCCTCCGCTTCCGAGGAAGAGATTCGAAAGGCTTATTACATCAAGGTTGAGTTTTTTCTAAATTGATTTTGTTTTGAGTTTTGTTAGATCTGTGAGTTTTTCTCTGTTTTTGGGGGACTGACTCTTAAATCTTTAGGCAAGACAAGTTCATCCTGACAAGAATCAAGGTGATCCTCTGGCTGCTGAAAAGTTTCAGGCAAGTTCTTTATAATGTCATCCATTTTCTTGTTTTTTTGTTTTGTTTTGATTTTGATCAAATCAAGAGTTTTCTTCTTGGCTTTTGGCACAGGTTCTAGGTGAAGCTTACCAGGTTCTGAGTGATCCTGTTCATCGTGAAGCGTATGATCGTACTGGAAAATTCTCAGCTCCCAAGTAACGTTTTCTTCTTTCTTTTTTCCTCCTTTTCTTAATAAAAAAATGTCTTGTTTCTCTGAGAATCTCAAATGGTTTGATCAATCAGAGAAACGATGGTTGATCCAACGGCTGTTTTCGCTCTTCTTTTCGGAAGTGAACTATTCGAGGATTATATTGGTCACTTAGCTGTTGCATCAATCGCTTCCACTCAAATGGCTTCTGAAATAGAAAATCCTGATCAGTTTCATGACAAACTAAAGGCAACTCAAACTCATACATTATATAATTGTATATATCCATCTTCTGGTCTGGATCAGACATAAAGAACTATCTTTCTTCTTTATAGGCTGTTCAGAGAGAAAGAGAAGAAAACCTCGCTAGGTTTCTCAAAGATTTTCTAAGCCAATACGTCCATGGAGACAAAGAAGGTTTCATACACCGCGCTGAATCTGAAGCCAAGAGACTCTCTGATGCAGGCATTGTCTTCTTTCACTTGTTAGTTAATTACTCAAAACATTTCTTCGCATTCTGAAATTGAGTTCTTATAAATGAATTTGTTATAGCTTTTGGAGCGGATATGTTGCATACAATTGGATATGTATACACAAGACAAGCAGCTCAAGAGCTTGGGAAGAGAGCTCTTTACTTGGGAGTTCCTTTTGTAGCGGAATGGGTTAGGAACAAAGGACATTCTTGGAAATCACAGATCAGTGCAGCCAAAGGTGCTTTTCAGTTACTTCAGCTCCAAGAAATGAGTAACCGGAGATTCAAGAAAGACGGGACTAGTCCAGCGAATGAGTTGGAATCTCATATTCAGACAAACAAAGAAACACTGATGGGATCTCTGTGGAAACTCAATGTGGTTGACATTGAAATGACTCTGTTACACGTGTGTCAAATGGTGAGTTCTTTTAAATCTTATGTTGTGTATTGTTGTCGGATCTCAAGACACAAGATATGATGATTCTTAAAACAATGGTTAGGTCTTGCGCGATAACAACTTGAGAAAAGAGGAGCTTAAATCTCGAGCATTGGCTCTCAAGATTCTTGGGAAGATATTCCAGGTTCTTTTAATAATACCATAAATAGTATTCATATTATCTGATCTTCTTTTGTTTCTTGTGCTGATTCAATATTGTTGTGGTTTGTATAGCAAGAAAAGCAATCGAGGAACGGTGCAACATCAAGAAGAGAAGATGAAGACAGCAGCGACGGCGATGACAGTAGCAGCGATGACGATTCTTCACAACCACTTTCATACAGAACTCCTCTGCTCACTCAGGTAGAATTCTGAATTTTAAACTCATTCGATGATGATACTGTTAAAAGATTCTTGACTGAACATTTTTTTACAGGGCATTGGTAGACTCTTCAGATGTCTCTGCAATCCCGCATTTGATGTAGACGATGATGAAATTGTATACAAAGGCAAATGATCAAACACAACACATTCTCATTGCAAGATGGTCTCACATGTGAATGTGATTGCAGCCACTAAGTTATTTATTCTTCATATATATAATATATAATATATATTTGTAATGATGATGATTGATGGATCAAACTTCACAAATCGTTAAAATAAGTACAAAAGCGGAGAGAAAAGAAAATCCGCTGTTTGTAATCATTACAAGATTGCTATAATGTTTTGTTGGAATATTCCGTTCTATTGGTGTTATTCATACTCAAATTGAGTAGTACACAATCATCACAACCATGAAGGGCCACTGATCGCTGACAAATCTTTTTACTCACCAAAATAGAGCTTAAAATCTCATTCATATCTGTCTGAAACCTCAAGTCCACCTCTTCAATATCTTCGTCAATAGTTTCAGCACATGATTTCCTCTCAGCTATCTTTTCGTCCGCGGCCTTTGTCTTCTCTTTCGCAACCGTTTCTTGTCTATGCTGCTCGAGAATCTTGCGTTCCAACTCAACCACTTCATCTTCAAACCGTGATCCGTGACAGAGGCGGTGTAACGTGGGGCTTCTTTACCTAGAACAATAATGGGATAAAATGAAGACATTTTAGTACTGTTTTGAGTGCCTCAATCGATTTACATGTCATCCAAATACAATAACCTCTTGCAGAGAAGACATGTGAATAAAAAAACGGAAGGTGTAAAAACAGTACCAGAGAAAGTGATGGTGACCTTTAACGGATTTGTGTGGTTGGTATGATGTTGACCTTTTCCCGATTATTAGAGAAAGTGAAAAGCCTGCAACTAGCAACTATATAGCACCATTGATTCCTTTGCCGAGCTAGAGCCTCTGCCTCGTCTAATAATGTATAGATCATGTAGAGCACGATGCGATAAGTCGGCTGGAGAAAGGATCAGAAGCAAAGAATCACTATATGTACCAAAATGAAGTTTTATTTTGTGAAGAAGTTCAGCTTAACTTACCTATCAATTCACAGCATAGCAGATAACTGACTAAATCTTCCGAGATCGACAAATATGACAATATGACCCGACCTACGTTCATCAAACTTCAAGTGACTGAAAGTTTTATATTATTTTGTTGCAATCATCCCAATCCCAGTGCATTTCCTGTTACTCAAACTTGACTTCTTGTTTTGCTTCAATTGGGTGTTATTCACACTCAAATGAGTATTCAACAATCAGCCCAACTAGAACCTGGATTCTTTTTCACATGCTTCTCTCTCATCAGCTTTCTTACAAGCGCCGAGCTTTCCCAATCTCCAGAGGTTGCGAATATGGCGGACAACTGCACATAAGCAACTGAGTTCTCAGGTTCGAGCTCTAAAATCTTCTCAGCAACTTTCTTTCCCATGGCTTTATATCCATTCGCTACGCATCCTCTTAGAACAGACGACCACATGCTTGCATCCGCATCGAATGGCATCTCTTCTAAAAAATCTAAGGCTTCTTCCAAATAACCAGCACGAGCCAAAAGGTCGACCATACATGAAAAGTGCTCTCTATCTGGAACAAAACCATTATCCAACTTCATTGCCTCAAACAGTTTCTTTCCTTCTTCCACTAAACCACAGTAATTACAAGCAGTTAGAACGCCCATAAAGGTGATCTTAGTGGGTCTCATACCAGCAACATTCATTTTCTTGAACAATTCAACCGCTTCCAATCCATGACCATTCGTAGCATAACCTGATATCATTGAGTTCCATGGTACTTCATCTGACTTCACCATTGTATCAAATACTCTCCTGCCATACTTAACGGCTACGGAGACCGAAGACGGCGTGAAGCGGTGGCGGAAGATGCCGCAGAAGAATGGAGGATACAGAGGGGTGAGGAAACGGCCGTGGGGGAGATGGTCGGCGGAGATAAGAGACAGGATAGGGCGGTGCAGGCATTGGTTAGGAACGTTCGACACGGCGGAAGAGGCGGCGCGTGCGTATGACGCGGCAGCGATGAGGCTTAGAGGAACGAAAGCCAAGACCAATTTCGTGGTTTCTCCGTTCTTTCCGGAGGAGATAGCTCAGACTCAGTCCTCTACGACGGAGGAGGATATGAGGAGGAAGAAGAAGAGGGTGAATGTGAGGAAGTGTGTTAAAGTCACATCGGTTGCACAATTGTTCAGTGATACCTTAACTTCTTCTAGTCACAATGGAAATGTGATTACTCCTTTTAATAATTTTGAAAAAATGGGCTTTCATCAGCTTGATTTGAAGCTGGGGTTAGGATTCTTTAGTAACTGCTAGTTAACTTAATGTGTAACAGTTCAGTTGTTTGATGATCAGCACTGTTTTCTTTTTTTTTTTGCTGGATTATTTTATGTGCATGGATCTATATGAAGTGCTTTTGTTCTTTTTAATCGTTGGTGAGACGAAGAGAACATAATCTTTGGTCTGTTGGACATAAATCTCAACATGTAGTTGTTTTTATACAATACCCGTTTGTTTTACTTTTGGAATTTGACTATTCATCGCTGTAGTAGAATTAAATGAAACTGGCGCTTAAGTTTCAGAGTCTATATAAAATATGAACTGTTGGGTCAGATAGAGGTAGTTGTTAAAATAGGATGTAGAAGCTGTGTACATAAGTCATGGGATAAGTGTAGCATTTTTATGAATAGTTAAATATTGATCTTGTTTGTGCAGATGATCTTAGGATTTAGCTGTTAGCTTAGCTGAAACTAAAATCTACAAAAGCTGAGCAAGTAACACAGACATATACACGTGTGTACAATGTGTGTATCACTGTGTGATCCACTGAACATTTTGTTAAGATGTTCATTTGTCTTGGGTTATGAGAAAGTTCTCTCCATGAAACCTGGGGGAAAGTTATTTGAAAAGTTTCCTTAATTTGTCTTTAAAAGTTACTCAAACACTTTTTTTCATTGATATGAGATCTACTGCCAATTTTATTTTTTTATCAAAATGAGGTTAAAATGGGAAACTGGACAGTTCCAAAAAAAAAAAAAAAAAAAAAAAAAAAAAATGGGAAACTGAGTAGTAGACATGCTTAAGCCAACGATAACACATGTTTTATCATCAATGGCCGATAAAGTGGTATGAGAACTGGTTAGAATTAGGCCTGGGCATAAAACCCGGATCCGAATATCCGAACCGGAACCGAACCGAAATGGAGGTACCGAATCCGAACCGAAATTTTTAAAAATATCCAATGGATCTTAAACTCTTGTACCCGAAGAACCGGAACCGAACTAGTACCAAACCGAGAACCGATTGAATACCCGAATTATCTAAAGTATAATTTTATATCGCTCTAAATATTAGTTATTTATTTTATATTTTTGATATTTGGTATATATTTCTGGTTTTACAGATATATTTTCTTTACTTTTGGGACTTTTGGGTATATTTTTAAGTTTGATATATATATTTTTGAATTTTTTGATATAATTTATATTAAAAAAAAATTGAATCGAATTAAAAATTTGAAGCAAAAGATCCGGATCCGATTATCCGAACCGGAACCGAACCGAAATAAAAGTACCGAACCCGAACCGAAATTTATAAAAATACCCGATGGATCCTAACCCTCTCTACCCGAAATATCCGGAACCGATTGGTTCCGAACCGAAACCGAACCGAATATCCGAATGCCCAGGCCTAGTTAGAATCCGACCCTAGATTAGTCGGATTGTAAATTGTGGAAACAATAAAATACATGTGTTGTGTAGGTATATTTATGTAACGGCATGTATAATTTCTATGGAAACCTATAAAGTTTAAGACCAAAAAATAATAAAAAAAAAACCTATAAAGTTATATTATTAAATCAATATTTGCGCATAATGTATGTATGTATGTATAGTATGCATTACATTGATATGATGATGATGCTTAAAATCTGTGAGATGTATGTGTATCATGCGATAAAAACACATTTCTATATCGCGAACTTTCTGGATTTCGATATTAATATCACGTAAGAATATATTTTAATTCGTTAATAAAAAAGAAAAGAAAATATATGGTACTTAAAGTATTGCCCGAAAAGAAAGATAAAGATAAAATTTCTTTGTCCACTCGCCTGGATTAGGTTAATGCATGGGTCCATCGTCAAACAAGTAAACTAATTTCCTGTTTTCCTAAGCTGTCGAAACTTGACAAAACTGTGAAGAATTCAATAATTTATTCAAGTGTCCAGTTGATTATTAGTTTTTCCGTTTTGAACTTTAGTCCATTTTATTATTGCCTTTGAGATTCATCCCGCGAGAAGGTCAGTCGCAAGTCTGTACGCGTGTCACTAGTCCGCATTTTGATCTTCACTCGTTAATTATCAAAATTCCAACAAGCCAACAAGTCCGTATTATTCTATATATTATCCTATTAGTTTATTTGACCTTGAGAAAGCAATAAGCACATACCGAACGACTAGGGTGCTTTCCATTTCCGTTATAAATTTAAATGAAAATGTGTTTCTGGATGCGATTTTGTTAGGGTTTTTTTTTTTTTTTGTCTTTCTTCTGTATATGAATAGTAAAACCATTTTAAAAGAATCAATATTTCGTTCAATTTTTATTAATAGTCTATGCGGTTCTTGCTTAAACCAAGAGCATTGAAAAAATTAATCGCCTATTTGGTTACGCTCATTTTATCGTCTTGAAATTAAACTCTCTTCGTAATTATGTTATTTTAATATACAGACCAATTCTGGAAGAAATATACTCGAGTAAACTAGAGTCAGATGACGCGTTTTACGTGATAAACCACTGTTATATCGTTCAAAAGATAAACATTAGTATTTGTTTTTGTCTTTTGAACCAAACTTACACAAAATACGTCATTGGTGTGACGTAAACCCGACGCAACGGTGTGACATAAAACTAACGCAACGGTGTGACGAACTATGAATCTAACCCACCAAAATATAAACTAATACAAGATATAGCAAATAGCCAAATACTAGTAGTTTGAAGATAAAACCCAATAAAAGGCAGAGGAAGTAACTGTCTCTTCACAGTGTGAACATAAGAAGCTTGAAAAAGTGCTTGTTCAAAGTGGAAAGGATTGTAATCAAAAGCAGCTGAAATATCGTCCAAGAACATAAAATTTCCAGGAGAAGACGGAGGAAACTGATACGCCCATAGCTGGTCATCATCCACCAAGAACTCGTTACTATCACATTCTAGGTTCATGATTTGGTCCGTGCCTTCGTCGTCTTCGATGGTAATGACTTGGTTGTCTACTGGAACGAGTTGAGGCATAACCAATTCCGACATGGGTTGGTCGATTTTGTCGAACCGGATCATCTTGGAACCGTTTGTGATATCGTCATTATGCTGCGAAAAAGCATCAACCTCACAGATGTGTTTTCCGACATAAGTTGTTCTGAACACCGAAGGAGTGTCTTGGATCTGCTGCACCCGCTTTGTAGCATTGCAGTTTCGGTCTTTGGCATAGGCACAACGATAGTAACACCTGTGAAAGATCCACACTCATTATTAGTTACCAAGATTCTTCAATTAATAAAACAAAGCATATCATAACAGAGCAATACTCTGTTTGTTTTGTTTTGTTTTGGGCTTAACCTTTGGTGGGAAGAAGTTTTGATTTTCTTTTGTCCGTACTTCCTCCAAGAAAAACCGTCGTTGAGGAGCGGAGTTGGTGAATCATCTATGTAGTGCTCTAAACCGTTTTCCCCATTGCTCGTTCTGCAACATGGAATATTAGAAACGATTAGCTCAAACATCCCTTAATCATCAACAAGTATTGATTTTTTCTTTCGTCAATTACTTTTTCGGCGATTTTCGAGCAACGGGAGCTGCCTTGTTCTGAGAAGACTCACGGTGTGGTTGGGGGTTAGAAGAAGTGACGTTTGTAAAAAGAGAAAGAGCAAAGGAAAAGGAATCAAGAACGGTATCAAAGAGAGGCTCGGTGGGAACTGAGCCTGTCCTCGAGTGTTCGAGCACCGTCTTCAAGCGAGTAGCGCTTTCTTGGCCACGAAGCAGCGCCTCAACCGCCTTGTCAACACCGTGAAACATTTTTCTTTGGAGTTGTGGAGGACTCTTAAGGCTTAAGGAGCAAGAAGAGTTTTGTTTCTAAAGTTGTACTTTGTTATTTTGGAAGGCTCTATGGTTTTATATAGTGTTTGAAAAGGACGTGGATAATTCGGAAAAAGGGAGACTTTGAATAAATGGGAAACGGCGAATCATTGCGACGAATCTGCCTGCCTTTTTTTTTTTTTTGTGCACGACGAATCTGCCTGCCTATATTAACATTTGGTGGAGGAGGGTTTATGGTTGGTTTACTTTTCCTTTGCGTTTAGTTAGTCACTATAAAAATATAACTATTAAACCGTCGGCGACAAGAACCAATGACGCTCCATATCTATAATTTAACAATAAATATATCATACAAAAAGATACATGCTGTCAAGTGTCAACAAAAAGTATACACAGTTTATGAATTACAGTTTTAAGACCAATTCTTCGGTAAGATTTCTTTCCCACACAAAGATTTCCTCTAATTAGAATTGACAGAGAGAAATTTGAAAATCACTTAAAATTACTCAATTGTTGATGATGAATCCACATGTGTTTACGTATGTATAACATAGTATAAGTTTGAGACAACACTAATATAAAGCCGATTAAATTTAACTTGGTTAACAACAGTAAATTGTTTTAACCGAATGAGACCGGGCGTATGCAAATTGTCCAATTTTTTCTTAAAAACAGCCAAGTTTTTTTTTTTTTTTTTTTTTTTTTGAAACTTAATAACAGCCAAGTTGAGTAAATAATTGATATGTTTCGACTGTTCATAGTATATGTAAAACTTTTTCATAAAAACGAGCCGCATACGGTCCATTCATTTTTATTAATTTGTAGATAAATAACTTAAAGTAAATAAATCTATAATGTTGCATGAGAATAAATTGGCGGTGGTTGACAAAAAAAAATAAAAAAAAAAATTGGCGGTTTATCCTTCCAGCAATTTTTTTTTTTTTTTTTGTAACTCATCCTTCCAGCAATTAGATCTCGCTTTTTCCATTCTCCGTGTGCATGGAAAATTAGGGCAGCTCCATCATCCCTGAGAACCCGAAAAAAAAAAAAGAATTCTCAAAATTTTTAAACTAATATTTCAATATATTTTGATTAAAATAAATTAAAATTTTTTCTTGAATCAGGTGGGAGGAGATGGGTTCTGTGAGTTTCTTGGGAGTTCTCTCTCTTTCCTACTTTCTTCCTTTTTTAATATTCTTTAATCTCTAGATACTCCTCCACATTGTCCACAACTCTGAGATGGAGTTGGTCTTTACATATACCTTTTGTATTTGAAAGAGTGAAGAGTCAAAATTTACGCGGGCCCCACCTTTTTTTCTTCTTGCCTACATTTTCTCTTGTGCATGGGAGGACCCTACTACCTTTCTTGTTGTTTTAAGAAAAGATTTCTTAATCGTTACATTTACATATATATGCTAATTTTTGTTTGCATGGTTTGATAATATAATAAAGAAATAAGGATAATGTTTGTCAGAAATTTAAATAAGTTTAGGTTCGCGAAAGCAGACAGTCCCCAACCTCCACAACTGGGCATCGCTAATCCTTTATTTAAAATCTAAGACAACCTATTTGTTTTGTTTTTTGTGGAAGAACACGTGTTTATAAAACTTCAAAAAAGAAAAAGAACACTTGTTTTATCCCTAGGAAAAAAAGTTAAGATTTGACACAAATTGTAAATGAAGTTTCTGAGAAAATGCTTGTTTCAGTGAAAGAAGACATGTTATGAAATAAATTAATTTCTGATAATGATCGTCTGTTCTAATACCACAAAAGGATCAGAGAAAGCTTTTACGGTGTATTCACCGATTTATTTTTGTGGGATTTATAAAGAGTCATTTTCTTTAAGCCTACAAGTGTATTTTCACAAATATTTTCGTACTATATTTTTTTGGATATTTGTTATAAAAAAAACAATGACGTAAATAAAATAAAAATTGATAAAATGAGACGAAAGATAACGACCCAAATAAAAGTTTGATTCCTTAGTAGACATTCTTGGCTAATCAATAAGCACCACGTTGGCTTTGATTTGGCAGCATTAAGAGTGTGACGTGGTGGCTTTAGTGGCTTTTACGGATAACATGATCTGACATGTACACATATGACATATGTATGTGCGCGTTTGATCGTGGAAATTGCTCGGACTCTATATACCCCATCATCAGTTAATTAACTTTTAATAATCTTTTAATATACGTATTTTAACTACAGCATCTTTATGTTCCTTTAATTAATCGACTCTTAATCATCAAGGTCTGCCGTCTGTACAGTATCATAAGCAATGGTGTTTTCAACGTAGCAAAGAACATATACTATTTTTTTCTCTAAGAATGATTATCCATTTTGTCACTTCGTAAGTATGAAACAGCCTTGGAACGAAAAAATCAAAGACTGAGAGATCATCCGTTCTCTGAATCTTCCAAACAGTCCTTTAGATGATATAGTCGATCAGGTAACTATCATGTATACGTCTCTGTTTTTTCTTAGGTATGAAGCACCTCGTGGTTATAGATAAAGCTGATTCTGATATTCTTTCTTTAATTTGGCATTGGTTGATCTCAGGTGAGAAAAACGCAGATGACATTTTATTTTACAAGTAGAGAAAACGAATCAACCAAATTATAAGGTGAATGTAGATATGCAAGCAAATGGATGTATAAACCCACAAAGAGATAGACATTATCATCTCTTTAACCCACAATATATATGTGGAGCCAAAATGGAATTAAAAGTCATTTAACTCTTTGCATGACTACCACACAAGCAAAACATTAAGCAAATAAGATGTCGTCACCATCTACGAAAAAAAAAGAAAAAACAAAAAGATGTCGTCACCATCTGAATAAAGACCTAGCTAGCTGGACATAATGGTGGACTTTCACATCTTAAAACACTTGATTTCAAGGGACATATGCCCTGGCGTTCCATCCATTGTTCTCCTTATGATAGCCCTGTAGTCTCGACCGACGGCACGGGTTTTGAAGGCAATGTAGAAGATTGCATTCTCCGCCAAGGCCTTCTTCTTCGACTCCACATGTTCTCTGGTTTGCACAATTATCTTTCTCAGCTCAAATGGCTGTGCCCACCTCAGATCTTTCTGCAAGACAACACCAAGAGATCGTTAACCTACACGAGTTCCCCATCTTAATTTGTTGATTTTGAGTCAAGTCCTTTTGCCTCACCAGGAAACTTCCACAGGTTGTAAAGAATCCAAGTTTTGCATAAAAATGAAGCCATTCCTTGTATTCTTCCGCCTCAGATTCTTTCATCTGCAAATCTCACGTCAACAACATATATATCACTTCTTTGTGATCATTTAAAGAGAAAACGCTTCTCTTAAGAACAAAAAGGGAGGGGGGCTGACCTCGTAGTATTGCAGATTATCACTGGCAGTTAGCGCATCCTCAGGGACCCAATCGGGCAGGTCATCTTTGAAGAAATCATCCACAGAAAGTCTGTCAAAGGCCGCACATAGATTGCCTTCCACCTCTGAGGACGTGACCAATAAAGATGGAATATATTAGACACACAAACAAAAAAAAAAAAAATATATGGAGAGAAGTTGGTTTGAGCACCCAAATTACAATATACCTGGAGTTTGCTGTGGCTTCAACCTGCAGAGAGTTGTAATCATAGTCGAGCAACGTTGTTTCTCAACCTCATCATACCGAACCCTAAATTCCAAGTCGAGAGTGGAATCGCGTATATGGCCAGAGATTATTCCAGTATCCTTGGGATCATTCATAAGTAAACCCCAAAATCGTAAGTTTGTTCCCTACAGTGTAAATTAATACAAAGTTCACTTAATATAGTAGACAGATCGAGAGAAGCAAGGGGAAAAAAAAAAGAAGAAGAGAGAGACTAATTTACGTTTTGCAGATTGTAGCAATGGAGTGCAACTTGACCAAGTAAGTCCTGATTGAGAGAGTCAAAATTGAATTCAAGGTTACTTAAAAAACAATTTAAAAAAAAAAAAAAATCAACCCCTCTGAATAAAGATAGTCAATATTCATGCAAAAAAAGAATTACCCGAGGCGGAATCTTGTCGTCTATGGGAAATCTTCGAAATTCCTGTAGCCTCGATGGTGGTGAATATTCAGGAATGGGGAAAACTTCTACGTAGGGAGAGCGTGGTACAGTGCCATCATCATGGTGTAATGGTTCAGAGGGCAAGTAGCATATTTGAGGTTCCAGCAGCGCCATTCTTGGAAAATCTCACCCAGCCCTAAATTCTGATGATCAAAGGATTAGATTCAATTGAAATCTTAATTCCAGAACCCTAAGTTTTTAAAACCGCAATTTTAAACATCTATGAGGATCAAATTCACCATGCATATATCAACAGATAGAACCCTAAACCCTAATTTCTCGGAATCTATCAAACCACAATCGTTGATTCCAGAGAGAATTGAATCGCAGTTATGGAAAGTGATTCGCCAAATTAGGGTGGGAATCGGCCTAAATCTAACTATCATGTAGAGTAAACAAGATGAATTTTATGGGTTTCATCAATTCAGCAGCAAAGATTCGATGAGCGAGAGAGACCCGATGAAGAACGAAACAACGTACCTTTTCTTCTCTGTCCCAGATTCGCCAAATCAGATTGGGTTTTTCTTAAATTTTACCTTAATAAAAGAAAAAAAAAACTTTGTTTTATATCTATACAACCGACAAAGTTATTGGGCTTTTTCTTTAACTCATAAAGCCCAATATTAATCGGGGAAGAGACAAAAATTGACTGGAATATATCTAAATGTCATAATTTTAAATCTCCCGTTTCCGACCCAAAAAAAGGAAATTTTTCTACAAGTTTTTATTAACAAAAAATTCAAATTAATACTATTAGATTAGAAACTTTTTTTAATAATTTTTCTATTATATAATTAACTGGATAAGTAAGTGAGTTTGAGTATCAATCTTTTTTGGATTGTAGTTTTTAGAAAAAAGCGTTTCTCATGGGTTATAGTTTGGTTTTTCCTTTTTACAAGTGTTATACGAAAAGAAAGAATGATACCACATTACTATAACATGAAGCATTTCTGTGGTTTGCGAGAGTGTCTCCCCTTTAATATACAATTCTGTGGTTTAATTAAGATGCTTTGGTATGGTTGGTAAATCATCATCGAATCCCTTAAAACAAAAAACATAAAAGAAGTATGACGTTTTAATGCAAATCTTGAAATCTCCCTCCCTACAAAGAGAGAGAGAGAGACTACGGGGGATTAAAATGGTTTGCACAATTATCTTTTAGAGTTGTGGAGAGCGATAAGAGTTTTGTTTCTAAAGTTGTACTTTGTTTTTTTTGAAGGCTCTATGGTTTTATATATAGTGTTTGGAAAGGACGTGGATAATTCGGGGAAAGGGAGACTTTGAATAACTGGGAAACGGCGAATCAGTGCGACGAATCTGCCCGCATATATTAACATTTTGGCGGAGGAAGGTTTATGGTTGGTTTACTTTGCGTTTAGTTAGTCACTATAAAATAAAACTATTAATCCGTTGGGCGGCGAGAAGAACTAATGACGCTCCATATCTATAATTTAACAATAAATATCATACAAAAAGATACATGCTGTTAACAAAAAAAAGTATACACAGTTTATGAATTACAGTTTTACTTTTAAGACCAATTTTTCGGTAAGATTTCCTCTAGTTTTCTCTTGCCCACACACAGATTACCTTTAATTAGAATTGACAGAGAGAACTTTGAAAATCACTTAAAATCACTAGATTGTTGATGATGAATCCACATGTGTTTATGTATGTATAACATAGTATAAGTTTGAGACAACACTAATATATAAAGCCGAATAAATTTAACTTAGTTAACAACAGTAAACTATTTTAACCGAATGAGACCGGCCGTATGCAAATTGTCCAATTTTTTCTTGATCACCGCCAAGTAGAATAAATAATTGATATGTTTCGACTGTTCATAGTATATGTAAACCTTTTTCATAAAAACGAGCCGCATACGGTCCATTCATTTTTATTAATTTGTAGATAAATAACTTAAAGTAAATAAATCTATAATGTTGCATGAGAATAAATTGGCGGTGTGGTTGACAAAAAAAAGAAGAAAAGAATAAATTGGCGGTTTATCCGTTCCAGCAATTAGATCGCGCTTTTCCACTCTCCGTGTGCATGGACAATTAGGGCAGCTCCATCATCCCTGAGAACCCGAAAAAAAAGAATTCTCAAAATTTTTAAAATAATATTTCAATATGTTTTGATTAAAATAAATGAAATTTTTTTCTTGAATCAATTCAGCCATTTAAATGTTGACAGGTGGGAGGAGAGGGGTTCTGTGAGTTTCTTGGGAGCTATGTAACAATTGCAATAACGTAGTGAATAATAGGTAAACTAGTGTTTTCAAAAGTTTGTAAATGAAAAAGACTTGTAAAATATGTGAATACACACCACCATTGGGATCCGAGTCACAGAGATATTTGTGAGGACCATCGCTACTAAAATCTTTGACCACAGATAGGAGAAGACAAACATTTTAAGTAAACTAGAGTTTTCAAAAGTTTGTAAAGGAAAAGACTTGTAAAGGAGACATATCAGGATATAGAAAAATATTGGAAACAGCTGCAGATCGAATAAATTACCATCTCAGAAGTCTGGGTCGGCAAGAAAAGCTGTGAAGAATTAAATTAAAAACTTTGTTTTTAAGGGGATTTCAAATATAACTGAAAAAAAAAATGATTGATTCTTCTCAACATGAGCCAAGAAATCATACAATTTAGCATTGTCACAGGCATGCCTGATATCCTTGGGTCTGTATATTGGGCATAAGCCCACTTCACTAACTAGTTATTTTACTACGGTTTTGATGACATATTAAACTTACTATATTGGGATAATTTAGTTTAAAATTTACTATATTGATACTATATTGGGCTGATTTACCTCCTTTATTCTGCTAATAAATCTCCTATATATTTATTTAAAAATTTATTGTATTCGTTAGCAAAGGTTTCTGTAAATATCTTTTTGCAATTCAATAAAGACTTTGGAAAATGATAACCTTTGTAGAGACGTTAAACAAATTTCATCAAGTTTTTGTGTCCTTTTGGATATCCAAAAAAACTCAGAAAAAAATCATAAAACGGAATAATCCCAGAACAATTTGGGTCCACTTAGGAGGACAAAAATATTAACAAAGCAAATGAACGGGAGTGATGATGATGGAATATTAACAATTTGGTTTCATGTCATGGAATCAAACGGGAGTGATGATGAGGAGGCGAATCATACCGTTGTTGATGATGGTCTTGATCCGACGGCTAGGAATGTCGACAGAAGCAGAGAGCATAGCCTGATAGCCACGTCAGCAGAATAGAACCCACCACCCGACTCGTGGCTAAAAGCAGGAGAATGACCAGTCAACTTCACTTTCCCGTTCGCGACCGAGAAGTCGTCTTTGGGAACACGTTGGCATGTCTAAACGCACGTATAAGCTGCCGTTTTCGAGCTGCTTCGACTCATATATACGATTCGCCAGCTTCACAGATCAAAACAACGAATTAATACTCCCTTATCAACACATAAACTCAGTACTATATAATAAGTTAATTTATGAACAGTAGGCTTTCGCAATTTATGAACAATAAGCTTGCGAAAGTGTGCATACTATTGTCATCCATGCCATTGCCAGGGAGATATCTACAACCACAGATAGAGAGAAATATGAGTAAATTTTTTTTTGCAAAAGACTTGTAATGAAATAATGATCAACATATATATATATATATATATATATATATATGGAAATTAAGTTATAGTGAAAACTGATGCAGGAAGTGAGTCTTAGCGAGGTGAAGCCTGGGAACACCGTTGGACAATAGACATTTGGTACGTAGGTGAAGCCGTAGAACTCGCAGCATCTGCAGACGGTGATGTATTTCCCGTCTCGAGGAGTCGTATTTGTGGACCTTTGGAGCTTCTGCGTAAGACAGACAAAGATTTCTTGGTCGGGTCAAGGAAAACCCTCAAGCCTTCTTCCGGAACGCCGGGAAAGTCCTCACGAACATGCCAAAGTTCCTCAAGAAACTTGAACTCCTCAAACCCTTTTGGTCCATTCATCAGAAACGGGTTGGTGAATTAGTAAAACCCTTCTGCTCATCAAGACCAGTAATCAACAATATTTAATAAATGAGAGAACAAAAATAAAATCAGAGAAATGGTCTGAGTAAACGAGAACTGAATGAAAAATTTGAGATTGGTTTCAGAGTGTCATGTGCAAACTAATCAATTACCGGGAGATTCAAGGGGATTAAGAGGGAAGGCGGCCATGATTCAACATTGGAGTTTCTAAGCTAGTACTAGTTAATTAGGGGTTGCTTCTTCTTTATAAATCTCTCTCTTGCTCACTGAGATTTTAGCTTCAGAGTTTTTTTTGGGATCTTTATCGGAGAGGAAGGCAACGGGAGGGGGAAGGAAGGTATTGTCAGGTGAAAACGACAAAAAAATTACACTAGCTAGGGGACACGCGTCCTCCTCTAATTTGTGAGGCATTTTTCCTACGCTTTTTTAAAGTTTCCTTTTCTTTATATCCTTATTAGTTTACGAAATTATACTTATTGACTTCAAATCGTTAAATAGTTCGTTAGTTTTGATTTGTGGTTAGTTGAGCATTTAGGTCTTAGACCCTGAAGTTAGAGCTATGTGCTTAGTTAATTTTATTAACCTGTTTTAACGTTGTGCTGGAGAACTGTGTAGTTGAAATCTTATTGGCTCGAAAGATGAATAGACACAACAAACCTTTTGGTCAACAGAAGAACTAAAAAGAGTATACATATACATTAAAGTGAATACTCGAATTAGTTTGTGAAGTTTGACAAATCACGAGGATCAATGAAAAAGAAAACTTGTTGCAGAGATTGAAAGGTCCGTCGTTTCGCATTTCAAAAGAGCTTTTGTCATTTATTGATAAGTGTGTATAGATCGATGTTTTCAACAGATAAAAATGGAAAGTATGTGAAGTAGGGTGATATTTATTGCTATAGTTCTTTATTGCGTCACTTCTCAAATAATTATGTGGCATTTTTTTAAATTGATCGTAGTTATAAATTTATACTATATTTTTATTCTTGGTGAAAGTTTGTAAAAACTCTCTGCAATTCAGTAAAGACCTTGGAAAATGATAACAATGTAAAGACTATCAATAAGGTAAAGGTAAAGCGATATTAGGTCAAATAAGGTTTTTTTTTTGGAACATATCCAAAATTGATAAAACATATAAAACGACATATGGTTCTACCAAATTAAACAGCGACATAATCTCTAAAAGAAAAGGTCCATCTTGTCCACAAGAGTAAATTAAGAAACAGAAACACCCACATAACTGAAATCAAACGGGAGGGATGATCAAACGAATCACACCATCCTTGGTGATGGTTTTGATCCGACGGCTAGGAATGCTGATAGGATTGTCGAACATTGCCACGTCACCAGAGTAGAACCGACCACCTGTGTCGTAACCAACGGCAGGGGCTTGACCAGTCACCGTCACTTTCCCGTTCTTAAGGGAGACGGTGAACTTGTCTTTGGGAACCCCTGGCATATCTACACGCACGTACAGGCTGCCGTTTTGGAGCTCCTTCGACTCATAAGCCATCGAAGATCCTTCTAACACGAATGGGTGTTTCTTCAATACCCGACCCGTTAACGCCGGGTCTGCTCTTCCACACATATATCAAAACAACAAATTATTCCCTTTTAGACAAACCAAATTAACGCAGTACTACTATAAGGTGCATAGAGCTATGTAAAAATATTAGTAATCTAACATCGTAATTAATGAATTATAACATAACGTCGCGGAGAAGGAATAAGATGTGAATACCATAGGGATCCGAGCCATGGGGAAACTTGTGAGGACCATCGCTACGAAGATCTTTGACCCCAAATGAGAAAGACAAACATTTTAAGTAGACAATTTTCAAAAGTTAGCGAAGGAAAAAGACTTGTAAAGGAGACAATATCAAAGAAATGGAAATTAAGTTGGTGAAAACGGCAGATCGGATAAAAATAATACTAACCATCTCGGAAATCTGGACCACCAAGAAACGCTGTCATAAACAAATCGAAACAAAAAATTATCAGAAAAAGGCACTAAATAAATGACTGAGTAAATAAATGATATATAAATCGTACAGATGGGGGAAGGGTTTGGAGTGGTTTTTCGCTTGGTGAGGAGAAGCCTGAGCACGCCGTCGCACATTTTGGAGGTGAAGCCAGAGATTTCGCAGCATCTGCAGACAAGCCCGGTGAAGGTGAGGTACTTCCGGTCAGATGAGTCGTATTTGTGCCCTTTTGGTGCTTCGGCGAAGACGGACACACCTTTCTTCGACGCAAAACGGGAAACCTTCACGCAGTCTGCTCGAACGCCGGGAAGATCAATCCTCACGAACATGTCCTCGTTCTCCAACATCTTGAACTCCGTGAACCATTTTGGCCCAGTCGCCAGAAACTGGTTGTTGATTGCGTAAAACCCTTCTACTCCATCACAGATATATACATAACCATAAAAGAGGAAGAAAATATCAGTGACCCATTTCATTTGAGAAATAAAGTGAAGAACTTGATGAGATTTGGGGGGTCGGTTTAGAAGATCTTACCGCGAGATGGAGGGACAGCACAAAGAGGGACGACCATGATTCAGCGGCGGAGAGAAGATTTCTGTAAGATTTCAGATTTTCAAGGTAGTAACTAGTTAGGGTTTCTAAATCTCTCTCTCTCTCTCCCTCTCACTCACTCTTTATGTTTTAGCAGCATTTAGGTTTTTTTTGGATCTTTATGTGCAGGAGCTAAGAGGAGGCAACGAGGAGGACAGTTGTCATTGTCAAGTAAACGACAAAACAATTAATGTGTACGTAGGAGAAACCTATACATACGATGAAACAAATAATGTACGTAGCTGATAGGTTAATTATCTCCAATAATTTAGGTTTCTTTAAAATTAACGTCATAATAACAAAATAAAATGAATACTAATATCAAATCAAATACCTTGTCGGCTATATCCACGAAGATGAGCTGAAAAATCAAAGACTAAAATAGATGACTTTATAAACGAGTCAGAGTTTAAAAAAAAAGAAAAAGAGATGTAAAACAGTATTCGAATACTATATTATGAATACACATCCCATGAAAAAATGTCAGATACCCTAACACTAATTAATTTATCAAAGAAACCCTAACACTAATTAATTTATTAACGCTAATTAATGATAAGATTTTATTTGTTTACCAAAACAAACATAAAATCGAAATTACCATCTGGGTTATAGAGCCACGAATCAAGTGAACTGCCAAAACCAAAAAGAAAGTTTGTAATGAACAGTTGTCACAAAAAATGCAATAAATGATTTTTTTTTTTAAAAAAATCATTCAAAAGATTGGAAACATACGAAGGGATGGGGATGCAGCAGGCATTCTGCCAACTGCGACAACATTAGAAAAAAAGGTACTACTTATTCTTTTTTGGATAAATAACACAATATTATTATTCTTTTTGTGCTCCACAGTCTTCATCGCTGGCTCCACTATGATCTTAGAGCATTACAATGGTGGTATTTAGGAGAGTTTCTCACTAATAAAATAATGAAAATATTAGAAAAAGTAAGAGAGAGGGTGAGAACCGATTCTCGTTTTAGAGATTATAGAACTCTTATGAGAGACTCATTTAACACTTGTTCTTTTATGATTTGTTCATTTTAAAATATTTTTCAATTAAATTTGTGTTCACATTATAAATTGTGTTCACACTTAGAATGAGAAATCTATATTGAGAAACTACCGTTAAAGATGGTCTTAACACTTTCTTTTGTGACTCCTGAGAAATCAAGCCTCATAAACAGATTCATACTCTGGTCTTTAGGGTTTTTTTGGAAATATATGGAAAAGAAGCTTTGACGGAAAGGAGGGAGCGAGAGTATGGAAGTGTCGTCGTCGAGTGAAAACGACAAACAAATTATCATTGACACGCGTCGCTTTCGCATTCGTGAGTTGTACTGTTGGACGCTTGTCGAATTCCTATTTGCGAATCATTATAACGTTACCAAAAAAACATTTTTATCTATCACTATATACGTTATAGTACACGTTATAATTTACAAAGTTCCGTAGACTGTAAAAGTCTGTGTTATTATTATTAAGACAGAATTAAAGTTGATTTTTTCGCTAAAATTAGCAAGTATGCAGCTTTATAGTACAAAGTTACAAACCCCTACAAATTTACATAGGAATTTTGAAAGATTATTGTCTTCATCACACCTTGGGCCATACCTCATTCCCTGGGTCATTATAAGTATTGGGCTTTAGCCCACGAATGATCACAAAAGGAAGTTTAAGACGGTTGGGCTACGGTTGGGTCCATTCCTTTATACCAAAACATAAATAAGCAAACGCAAAAAGAACAAGAGTGAACACGAGGGAAAAATCATTTATACTGACACTGAGAAGATAATTTTATCAGGCGATGAGAGAGTTCTACATCATCTCTTGCGGTTATATATAGAGAATAATCAGGAGAGAAGAATTATAGAGAAACACGGTCAAGACTCAACAGTCTCAAGCTTTCGTCTTCTTCTTTCAGCAGGTGGTTCCACATTTCTTGCGGTTGATGTTCACGTTTCAGAGCTAAAGTTTTTAGTTTTCTCTTCTTTCTTCTTGTACCCTGAATTAAAGAGAAAGAGATACGGTAGGTTGTAGATCATTTATTAAGAGTACAGTCTCTTCACCATAGGGAGATAGGTAAACAAATTTCTTGTGTTTTTAAATCAATCAATAACAAACAAAACGTGTCAAGTTAATTGATCATGGTTAACTTAATCTATTTGCGAGAGCTAAAACTCACAATTATATTTCTATCGAACTAGGTCCTACTTCAGCTGGCGAAGACAGTTTATTTATTAATGTTTTGCGTGTGCTAGTCATGCAAGAGATAATGAGAATTTTAACCGGTCTATTTAGACATGTGAAGTAATTGAATTCGAATATATAAATTAACACAAGGCTGATTGATAGACATCTTGCTAAATCTTGCTAATGACATGGCGTGTGCGCGGGTTGGTTTATCAAGTTTAAAGGGAAAAGAAGAGTCTCGGAATGGAGTGGAGGGTTTAGCTCATTAAAGAGAAGCAGCTTACTCGAGAGTGAGAGTATAAATAAGAGTCGTCATTGTATCTTCTTCTTTATGCTTTGTATGTGATTAACTTGAGACGCTATGAGTCTAAGTACATGAGATCTCTGTGATCGATCAATACTCGCCATGAGAGTTTGATCGTGAACAACTACAAAGCTTGTATTCGATTTCCCTTGCAATTACAGTGTTATTCATTCTAGATCGAGTTACAGATAAACGAAAATCTATCATTGGTGCGGTGAAACTGTTTCGGATCAAACGCGGAGGTGAAAAAGTTTCGAATCAATCGCGAATTGAAGACATTGGAGGAATCAAGCGCTACCATGGAGCGATAGTTCGAAGTTCCGGTATTTTGTGATGTCGACTTGCGGCAATGGCTTTCGTGGATGGAGCAATACTTCGTTAAGAAGAGACTCACGGATTATGAGAAATTACACATGGCTTCTGGATTTATTTACGGAGAAGCTGACTCGTATCTCTGTAGGCTTCAGATTATCAATACGTGGCAAGATTTGAAGAAAGAGTTGCTGTTGAAGTTTGGTGACGATGACGATCCGGAGAAGATTCGGTTGCGAATCGAAGCTGATAGATGCCACGATGTTCTCCAGAAAGCCATTCCATGGAACATCTCGGTTACGTCGGCGTGGGAAATTGAGCGAACCAGTGTTAAGCCCACGGTGATTGCAGAATCTCTGCAAACTCAATTTCAGGTACCACTCGTGCCTATGGAACAAAGCCGGAATGATTCTCAGTTAGGTTATCGAGCTAGTGATGTGAATGTTGCAAATAGTGAGGTTATGATTCAAGATAGCGAGTTGCCTATGTTTGATGGAACAAATCCGCACTCTTGGATCATGAAAGCGGATTGGTATTGGCGCTTCTTTGATGATAAAACAAAACTAGGTCTAGTATTTGTGAATCTAACTGGAGCTGCAGAGCAATGGTTTACTTGGGTGCGGCGACTTTGGGGATTCAGAGATTGGGCTGACTTTAAATACCAATTGCGGACTGTGTTTGGTCATACAAGTTATTCTCCAGTAGAGGTGAATCTGAAGGATGATTCGATTTCAAGTATGGAAGTTGTTCCTGAGATTGAAGTGATGAAGAAGCCAATCTCAACAACTGTGAATGACGTTTCTGTGAACTCTGATGACTGTCCTGTCCATAGTTGCTCTTCACAGGAGACACGGCTCAAGCATGATTCTCTTCCGGCGGTTGACGACGCGGCAGTGGTGATGCCTAAATACGCCTCACTTCCTGCAAGGAATTACGAAGCAGAGTTGGGCGGTGAAGTAGAATCCAGTGATACATTGGAGATAACTGATGCGTCTCTGGTGCAGGAGTTGCAAATCACCAAAATACAGTTTCCCGTGGAACCAAGTTGTGTTTTACAAGAGCAGGAAACTGAGCATTCAGTCGTTATGCACAAATTGGATGCATCTCAGCTTGATGACAGAAAAACAATGCTAGTGCGGCAGAAGATAGAGTCACCAATTCTGGACAGAAATCAGTTGTCATCTCAGCTCATCAATGTAACAACAGTTGCTTTGAAGCCTTATTCTGCTCACCAACGAGTTACTCATAAAGCTAGCAGAGTCACCAGTAAACGCAAACAGAGGAAGCTCTATGACGCATGGAAATTCAAGTTCAAAGAGAAGCTACGTCTTGTGGAGTTACGAGACGCAACTGTTGCTCGCCTATATCATCTTCATGTGCAACGATTGGCTGATGTTATATTGATGACTTCCGAAAAACAACATTTTGCACCTAAGAGGAAGTGTTGCAAGTCGTGGCATTTTAAATACAAATCCAGTTATTCGCTTGCCTTTGCATGGAGAAGAGGCTGGTGAGGGAAACTATAAGTCGGCGGCATACATTGTTACTGAGCCAAATTTTACTAGCATTGCAACAGTTTTTGGTTGGTACTGGAAAGTTCCTTGTGAAACATAGGTGGAGGTTTAAGCAATTAAATCACGCTTCAGTTTTGGTGTTAGCAGTGGAACAAGTTACAGACAAAAGAACAGCTTGGCAGCCGTATGCATCTTCTCACGGAGATGTCTCTGTATTTTGATGAGCTTAAGCTTGTGGTCAAGCTTATTTTCAAGGATGGGAGTAGACAAGCGAAGAATGACCTGTTTGTTCATAATGGATATGCTGCCTTTGTGGTTTTTAACAGTTGCTGAATCTGATGTCTTCAAGAGACAGGTTACAGAAACGAACACATGGTGGTTGTTACAAAAGCTTATATATGGCCACTCATTCTCGGAATTGTTTCAACTGCGGAAAAGGAAGCTGATGTTTCAAACGGAAGTTACAGCAGTGTGGGATCATCTATTGCGTACAAAAAGGGAGATTGCATTAATCCATATCCACAAAGATTGGTTACAAGTGCAAGCTCGACAAACTGAGAAGATGAGAAAAACTTGGATGTTCAAATATAAAGAAAAACTAAGTATCGTGATTGGCCACTACAGCTGTTTCTCGCCAAGCTTGAGGCCAAGCTTGTTTTCGTTGGGGGAAGTATTGATAGACATCTTCTATCTTGCTAATGACATGGCGTGTGCGCGGGTTGGTTTATCAACTTTAAAGGGAAAAGAAGAGTCTCGGAATGGAGTGGAGGGTTTAGCTCATTAAAGAGAAGCAGCTTACTCGAGAGTGAGAGTATAAATAAGAGTCGTCATTGTATCTTCTTCTTTATGCTTTGTATGTGATTAACTTGAGACGCTATGAGTCTAAGTATCGAGATCGCCATGAGATCTCTGTGATCGATCAATACTCGCCATGAGAGTTTGATCGTGAACAACTACAAAGCTTGTATTCGATTTCCCTTGCAATTACAGTGTTATTCATTCTAGATCGAGTTACAGATAACGAAAATCTATCACTGATTCACCGGAAAATGATGCACTTCAAAGATGATGTTGATTAAAGAAGATGCATTAGTATGTAGTAAATGAAGTGTATTCGAATCTTTGAAGTACATTCACTTTAATTAATTACATGACTCCAACTGCATTCGAATAAAACACATACTTATATAATTTAATAATTCTATGCAACGAATTATGCAAGAGCTCAAGAATAGGACGAGATATTTTCGAAATTTCCATATAAATTCAACCGTAGTTACCAAAATATTAGCTTCACACATAATCCGAGAAACCAAAAAATAAGTTTTAGGTTATTTAAAAGTTAAAACTCTACTTCCTGCAGAGCACACCTTATCAATTCCATTAAAGTCCCAGTCCGACCTTCAAACTCTACTTCCTACCTGCACACATCATCAGCAACTTCAGAAATCAGAATTATCGCTGTAAAGTTATAAAAAGATAACAAGATAGAAATACAGATTTGAGACATTATTACCTCTTAGAATCCATTGCCTGTCACAGAGAGAACGATGCTGGAGTAGAAGACCCATGTTATGGTGGAGCCCTAGACTGCCTGATATTCCGTGAACTATCTTGTGGAGCCTGCAAAATTATTGTCATAAAGTGTCACAAAATATGGAATTATTGTCATCAAGTGTCACAAAATATGGACTCTTAAGCTCTTAGCTTTTGCTCCAGTGTGCAACGTGAGGTGCAGGTCTTAGGATATGATCTATTTTAGCCAGATTCTAAGACACACCTGTTCAAGAGGCGAAGTTCTGTCGGTGGCCCGAGGCGGTTGACAAGAGAATATGGCGCTGAGATGGGACACAAGTCCTGCTAGATTGGATTTGGATGCATTCCAATTCCGGAGATAAGAACAATAGACAGAACCATTTGGAGTGACATTTAGTAGATCATCCCTGATGCAGCTTCCACTAGAGCTAGACACGAAGACGCGAGGACGGGTACCAGGATAAGACTTGAGTAGCCAGATGATGACTTCGACGTCGAAGTAGTATACTCCTTCGTAGCTATAAGGGATCACTCCATGTACCTGCAAGAGACGATCCTCCTCTCGGACCCCTAGTGAACGGTAACGAGGTACTAGGTCACGGAGATGTTGCAAGATATAGTTCCTGTCGGCTGACTCGTAACGGAGGTTTGGATGATAGACCACACCGTAGAGCTGATAATTTGCACGCGGATCTGACGGAATTCCTTGTTGACCAAGGGCATTAGAATACCCACGAGTCCCAGAAGATGACGCCCCACCAACACTCTACAAATAATCACAAGAGCAACGGCATTAGGATAGGAAATTAGCAATACCACAAGCGATCAATAAAACACTTATTTAACAGACCAACCAAGCTGTGAAAGACACCAATTCAAAGAGAGGAGGATTTATGTTTCATGTTACCTTTGAAGCATCAGGTAATAACTCTTTTGCAACGTCTTTCGCAATCCCAATGAATTTTGCTAATCGCTCTTGCGTACTGTTGATGAATTCTTCTAAATGAGGATGTTTTCGATATCGCGAAGTAATCTAATTGGGCAATTGTTTCACAAGAATTAATTCAGAACACTGAGCCAAAATCCGTGAAGGAAAAAAAGTTCAAACAAATAAGAAGAAAAAGAAAAAGTAAAGCGTAAACCTTCTCGAAAAAAGCCTTTTTTGTTTGGTCGTCTTGGTAGTATACGAGGGTGTAAAGATCATTCAGACCATTTTCAATCAAGATCTTTGCCAACTTGATCTATCACGTGACCAAACGATCATCAGCATAAAAAATAATATATATATATATATATATAACCAAATAAAAAAATAAGTATAATGGAAAGATACAAACCTGAGGAAGAGTCAAAGCTCCATCTAAATTAGGAGAGCCAAGAGGAGCAATACTTCTGAACTCGTCCACGAGTTTCCCGACGAGTTGCCGGACATTGGAACTTTTGTGATTCCAATTCAAGAGATAAGGATGAAAGACTGCACCACAAGGAGCGACAGCTATTTGATTTTGGGTAATGACGTCATCGCCTGGGCAAGTCACTCGGACAACAGGACAAGAAATTGGATAAGAATCCACGAAACAGATGACGACAGTGACGCTGTATCTGGGACTATACTGGATCACTACATCTGCGTGGAGCAGATTGACGGGGCTGTTGCCGCTCTCATCCTGGGCTATTCTGGGATCTATCTTGGGGGAACCATTGATCAGATCAGAGAGATGGTGCAGGATAAACCCCTTGGTATAGTCGTTGTAAGGGAGGGAGGGATCAGAGAGCAGGGAGTAGATTTTGTCATAAAGCTGTTTTCGCGGATTTGACAGCGAAGACGTCATCGGAGTCTATTGTTGATGGAAATTGAGACGGAAAATAGAGGCAAGTTCCAAACTAGATGAGCAAGGAATCAGACTCTGAGACCAAAAACCGGAGAATTCAATGAATAAGTCCTGAAAATGAACAATTTTGAAACAAGAGTGAGTGAACAATAATATAGCAAATCGAATCAAAGCAAGAGAGTTCACTGAAAATGAAACTACAAATCTGAAGCCAAAGAGCAACAAAACATCACCAAATGTTAAACCAAACTGATACTTGTGAAGAGCAATAAACAAATTTTAGCAATAAACTAAACATGCATAAGTAAAATATGCAATACACGCATAAAATGACATTACCAAGACATTGCTAAACAGAGTCACAAACAGACAAACCACCACTTGAGCATTTAACACCACGTATGAGCAGTTTTAACACATAATTAAGTTAGGGATCTAAACAACTTAACCCAATCACAAAATAAAGCATACCACCTTCTATAAGCCTATATGCTATCACATAATCACTAATAAAAGGCCTCAAAGATGCATATAAGTAAGGACTACTAGGTACAAAATGTGCAGCCACAAGCATGAGACTCAGTAAACATTCTGAGGAGAACGACCAAAAAGGGGTCTAAACAAGTAGCAATTAGACAGCTAGGACAAAAAAGACTTTCACTTGATTGTTCTTCTAGCAAAGGCTCTTTAGCATCAAAAAGCCACAGACTTTGCACAACGAATTCTAACAAATCGTACATCTGTTTCTTCACAACTTCACGAGAGCATTAAAAGCAGCTAACTACCACCACACCAAAATTGAATCTTTGCTGCAACTTCTTTCCTATTCTCGAATGTAACATCACTTGTACAAATTCAAAACACTTCATGAGATCTAGACTCCTAAGTTCGAACTACAACACGAGGAGAAACGAGGTATCGACAGTACCTAGCTGAACACAAAAAGCTTAAAACTTTTGATTGATTGAACAAACGGGTGAATCAGAATCGATGAACACTCTAAACAGACCTATTAATCGATGAACATTCTAAACCCAATCAGACCCAATTAGAGAGAGAGAGGAAAGAAGAACTAACCAGAGAAGAAGAGCTGAAGAAACTAAGATGAGGGAGTGTGAGAACGTGAATAGAAAATCACATAATGGACCGAGACGAAGACCGTCACTAATGAACCGGCGTAAATGGGATTGAAGTTGGGTTTAATTTTTTTAGTTGGCTATTTCTAATGTTTACTTTTGTACACATTTTATTTAAACGAAATGTTAAAAACTCATTAAAAATCAGTATATATAATAGTAAATTCAGATTTTAAGATTTAGTTATTAAAATTATAAAATATATGAATAAATTTGACACTTTCTAATTAATATTTACAAACCACTTATCATAACTAAACTAAAATTCTCTCAATAATTTTTTTCTCAACTAGTAGTATATACATATACATCTAATAAAGTAAAAATTTTAAATCTAACATTATTTGAAAAAAAAAAACAGTTTCTCCACTGAAATCATAATTTGTATCCAAATACAAATATTTTTTATTACTAATTATATTGAATTGGCAATTTTTATATTTTATTATAATCATATGGTTTTGCTGTTTTATATAATTAAATAATTTTTGTATTTTAAATGTGTTGTTTAATCGATACTACATCAATTAGTCAACCAATCATAAATATCCCGTAAATACATCTATTTTTAGTTGTTGCGTCAATCATGTAAATCGCTTAATAACATTTAAAATCGCAACCATTCATTTTTTGCAAAATTCTCATAACCATAATTGTATCAGCTGCATTCAAACTAGTCAAATCCTTAATGCATTGTTCAAATGAAAATAAAAATATTGAGATAAAGATGATTGTTTGATAATATGTTTGATAATGTTCCCATAAACTTGCAATAGTGTTTTCCTCTGTATATATATACATTTTTTTGTCATCTACGGAGCAATATTACTAAACTTCAAATACATCATGACATGCACCAATGAACTTCCACCGTTAGAGTACTACAACTAAAAATCGGGTCTCAACCAAGCATCCATTCCCATCAGGGAAGCTAAAAAAAGGAAAAACACAGTCAAAGCAGCCAAAAATTAAACTAAACAGAGGATGGAACTTTCTCATTCTCAACAAGATCTTTTAACCAAAAATGCCTCCATAAACGACATAAGACTGCACACAAATATCCTTCAAAGCACTTTGGGTAATGAATAAAGCCCTTTTGTTTGTTACCCTCTCTTCTTGCATCACCCTCCACCATTCGCTAACCTAAGCATCAATTCCGATCGTTGGTAACTGAAAGACGGCCATGTCCGAGGCCTCATTACCACACCAATAAATCGAGTGTCATCAAAGGTAAAGATGACGTGATTCAATTTATGACTAGTCATGCTTTCAATCGCCCATATGAATCCCATAAATTTTAGATCATGAAGACCAGTCACATTAGAAAACGACCTTCTACTATGAATCATAACTAATCTACCTTCATCTCTTATCACCCACAATGCTCCTTCCTTTTGGTATCTATGAGACCATGCAACTCCCACATTGCACTTAATTAACCCAAGAGCTCGGTAGAGGATTCCACTTTTTATTTAACCTTAACACCTTTTCAGCATTTACTTCTTCAAGACACGTTTCAAGATCTTGTGCTAAAAACCACAATTCAGCTTTATAACTTTTTCCATCATCTGATTTTCTATAAACTATTTTCCTTCAAAGAGTAACCCATTTGTGTTTTTCCAAAGGTACCAAATGATCAAATGATAGATTTTTTTAATCTCAACTGGAATCTGCTTATCATTAGCCAAAGCCTAAAGATAATAGAAGTTAGAGAAAAAATAAACATCACTAAAACCACATTCAGGCACATAAATATTCGACAATGTTATACCTGCATCGCCACTAGACAAGAGAAAATGATGTGATTGAATGATTCACCATCTCTGGCAACATGGATACAATTCAATTCATTTCTTCTTCAATAGATCAGCAGCCAGAATGGCATTTGACAAAGTCTTTCAAAAGAAAGATCTTATCTTTGGTTATGTCAGATTGTCCAAATTGAGATTTTATAAGAAACCGTGTTTCTAAAAGGGTTTTTAAGAGAGTATTTTAACATATAAAAAAAGAAAAATAATCAAAAAGTATTTGAGAAAGTAAGAAACAGTTTTTAAATAAAAACTTTTAAAGCCGGTTTTTAAACTTTTAAAAATCCCTTTTAACACTTGTCTTTTTTTCATTGGTTCTATTCTTTATTTTTAATTAAAATTTAACTACATAATTAAATTATATTAAAATACTATTATTTTAACTATAAAATTGAGGTTCTAAACGGTTGAAGACCACTGACAGAGAGAGAGGGCCGTAGTTTCGCTTCAGCAATTTGTCCGCGGTTAAATCAAACGATTAATCATCCAATAAACTTAAGATATAAGCAGATAACAGGCCCAATAAACCCACAAAATGGGCCGACAACATAAACTAAGGAGATAAGCGGATAATTGGGCCAATAAACCTATTCCCTTACTTTATCAAGACTCCGCCGTTGAGCTTTAAATTGTCCCCAAGTTGAACCAGTATGTGGCAGCCATTTGGTCCATTTCTCCCCTGCAATGCAAGCGTCAGAATCCAATGTCAAGGACGATTCTTCAGGGCTCGACCGAGGAGGCTTTCGCAAATTCCCTGATCATCTTGGAGAGGGGTTGTGCAAGCTAAATGTGGTGATCTTGTCAATGCCTTGACATTCCATGTTCACAGTTTCATGGAGCTTCTTATTGTCATCAGGATCTTCAAGTCGTAGGTAAGTACATTCTTGAGAATGGTCTCTCTCTCTCTCACACGCTCTTTCTTGTCTTTGTCTGAGTCTGCTCAATTCTCTTGCCCATGCAAACGAGCAGGTAAACCGGTGAAGCAAGATTTGCAGCTGTAAGAGAAGGACACACCGAAGGACTGAGTTCTTACATGATTACATTGGTGTTGTGGTTTAAGACGTCACGTAAATACCTTGCTGGATCTTCTCTTCTCTGTTTTTTGTACGTGTAATAAAGGAAAAAAGACACTTTCTTTTCTGAAATTTCTTGTTAATACATGTGGTAATCCATTCTTGATTTGATTGTCTTAGAGAGTACTCCGTGACAGGTAATGAATTCTTAAGAGGTTATAATGTCTTAGATCTATATTTATATCTTGTTATATGTTGAATTTATATGAAAACCGAAAATATATCGATCTATCTGCTGAGCTCTTGCATCAAATTGTGTTTTTTTATTATGTTTTCTATTCTTTTTATAGTGACTCGTTGCATAGAATTATGGAATTATACATATGTTTTTATTGAATCTTTCAGTCGTCAGGTAAGTGCAGAATCATGGAGCTTCTTATTGTCATCACGATCTTTAACCCTCCATTTCTTGTTACTTGCAACGCTCCCTATTAGTAGCTCCACATGTCTACCTAGTTCTTGAATTCATACAACTAACTCCAGGACAACTCCCGTAATATTGTTGATAAGATTACGATTCGTCATTTTTCCATCCTCACCTAGGGGTCAGGAGGTTGGTTGGGTCAATGAGGTGAGGTCGAAATATGGTATTCCAAAGTATGCTTTCAACTTCTGGATCTTCCAGCTTGAGAGGCTTCTAACAAGAGCTTGGCTGCAGTCTTGGGGAATGAATATCACTGATCTTTGTTGTTTGTGTAACTCCCTCACTGAAACGAGGGACCAACTTCTGCTCACGTGTAGCTTCGCCTCTCCTTCTGTTTACATACTATGCATATTGCCGCCTCCTCCCTCCCACCTGTCAAAATCTTCTCGCATATGGATAGATCGATCAGGGAAACACTACTTACTCGCCTTTCTTGCAAGCGGTGCAACGGATTACTTTCTCAATGGTTCACCCATGCCTAGTGTAACGCTCTAAGTTCCTGCTGTTAAATTAGTTTCTGCCTGGCTTTTTATTAATTTTTGTGCTTCTCTGTTCTAAAGCTTTGTTATCTACTCTTGTTCCTTTTTGATAATACATTCACATATTATCAAATATATATATCGTGTTCTTCTCATCCTTTCTTGGCCATACCCATTCCTCACAGTGAGGCAAGAGACAAAGGTCCACACCATCACCTCCTCTTCAGTAGTTTCTGTCGAAGTGGCCACACTCCAATTATCACTACTAGATGTAGTTTATCCGAAGGGTTCACCCTGGTTTTGTTTTGAAGAAACAAAGCATTTTCGTTTTCAACCACAAACGCGGGAGATGGTTTCTTGGACACCGACTTAAATTCAACAACACTTGGCGTGTCCCTGAATCTTGCTAGCCGACGTTGATCTATACTTCTATCCGAGTGTTTGCGGTTTGGCTTGAGACAATCTTTTATATCTGTAACCTCAGAAAATTGTGTGTTGTGAACATCATTGGTTACTCCAAGATCATTTTGTGCCAACACTCCCCCGCTTATACTTTTCTTTATCGCTAACATGCTGTCTTTCACCATCTTGTCGATTAGCCTGTTGTCCTCCTTTTTTCCCCCATATAGCATATTTCTACTCTTATCAACAATACAATAATTACCGCAAACTCTATTTCTCTCAAGGCCTAAAAATCAACTTCCAATCCCCTTGTTACGTAGTGAATTTATCCGTTCAGAGAAACAGATGACGTGGCTATACAGAACTTTAACAAGAAAGTGACATGAAAAGGATACCCAAACTCGTGCTTTCGTTTACTATATACCAAAAGATTATTATTATTAAGCACGAGTAAACACGAACACAAAACACACATAACTCACATAAACTTTATGCAAACACCACCACATTCCATAATGTATTGAAAGACAACACAACACATAAAACTTATTCAAAGACCACGATCCATAATATCTTGAAAGACAAGACACTTAACTCACATAAACTTATTCAAAGACAAACGCTCCATAGTACTTTTTTAAAAGAAAGACCTCAGATCGATGCGATACTTGAATACATAATGGGACGATATGATACATAATGGTGGACTTTCACATCTTAAAACACTTGATTTCAAGGGACATATGCCCTGGCGTTCCATCCATTGTTCTCCTTATGATAGCCCTGTAGTCTCGACCGACGGCACGGGTTTTGAAGGCAATGTAGAAGATTGCATTCTCCGCCAAGGCCTTCTTCTTCGACTCCACATGTTCTCTGGTTTGCACAATTATCTTTCTCAGCTCAAATGGCTGTGCCCACCTCAGATCTTTCTGCAAGACAACACCAAGAGATCGTTAACCTACACGAGTTCCCCATCTTAATTTGTTGATTTTGAGTCAAGTCCTTTTGCCTCACCAGGAAACTTCCACAGGTTGTAAAGAATCCAAGTTTTGCATAAAAATGAAGCCATTCCTTGTATTCTTCCACCTCAGATTCTTTCATCTGCAAATCTCACGTCAACAACATATATATCATATCTTTGTGATCATTTAAAGAGAAAACGCTTCACTTAAGAACAAAAAGGGAGGGGGCTGACCTCGTAGTATTGCAGATTATCACTGGCAGTTAGCGCATCCTCAGGGACCCAATCGGGCAGGTCATCTTTGAAGAAATCATCCACAGAAAGTCTGTCAAAGGCCGCACATAGATTGCCTTCCACCTCTGAGGTCGTACAGACGTGACCAATAAAGATGGAATATATTAGACACACAAACAAAAAAAAAAAAAATATGGAGAGAAGTTGGTTGGAGCACCCAAATTACAATATACCTGGAGTTTGATGCGGCTTAAACCTGCAGAGCGTTGTAATCATAGTCAAGCAACGTTGTTTCTCAACCTCATCATACCGAACCCTTGCTTCGAAGTCGCGAGTGGAATTGAGTATGATGGAAGTAAGTATTCCGGTATCTTTGTCCATACTCTCAACACAAAAAAACTGAAAATTTGTGCCCTACAAGACCAAAATAAGAAGAAGTTGACTTAAAAGCACTACAACATATACAAACCAATAATATAGTAGAGAGTCGAGAGAAGTAAGGGGGAGAAAGAGAGAGTAACTTACGTTTTGCAGATTGTAGCAATGAAGTCCAACTTTAGCAAGAAATTTCTGATTGAAAGAGTCAAAATCAAAACGGAGGTTACTTATTAAAATGTAAATAAAAACAGCCAATCCCTCCCCCTTTGCTTAAACAAAAAATTACCCGGTATACGGCAATTCTTCGACATTCCTCTAGCCCCGATGGCCCCGATGGTGGTGGTGGTGAATATTCAGGAATGTCGAAAACTTCTACGTAGGGCGAGCGTGGTACAGTGCCATCATCATGGTGTAATGGTTCAGAGGGCAAGTAGCATATTTGAGGTTCCAGCCGCGCCATTCTTGGAAAATCTCACCCAGCCCTAAATTGTGATGATCAAAGGATTAGATTCAATTGAAATCTTAATTCCCAAACCCTAAGTTTTTAAAACCGCAATTATGAACATATATAAGGATCAAATTCACCATGCATATATCAACAGACAGAACCCTAAACCCTAATTTCTCGGAATCTATCAAACCACAATCGTTGATTCCAGAGAGAATTGAAACGCAGTTATGAAAAGTGATTCGTCAGATTAGGGTGGGAATCGGCCTAAATCTAACTATCGTGTAGAGTAAACAAGATGAATTTTATGGGTTTCGTCAATTCAGCAGAAAAGATTCGATGAAGAACGAAACAACGTACCTTTTCTTCTCTGTCCCAGATTCGCCAAATCAGATTGGGTTTTTCTTAAACTTTACCTTAATAAAAAAAAAAGAAAACTTTGTTTTATATCCACACAACCGACAGTTATTGGGCTTTTCTTTAACTCATAAAGCCCAATATTAATCGGGGAAGAGACAAACATTGACTGGAATATATCTAAATGTCCTAATTTTAAATCTCCCGTTTCCGACCCAAAAAAAAGGAAATTTTCTACAAGTTTTTATTAACAAAAAAATCAAATTAATACTATTAGATTAGAAACTTTTTTTTAATAATTTAAACTATTTTTTTCTATTATATAATTATTGGTCACGAAGATGGTGAAGATTGATGAGATGTTCTCTTCCCATCATGCCAATCCCTACGATTCCCTACTTGGTAATACGATTCCCTACTTGGTAATCGTTGAGTCATTCACATACAATGAACTGTTTTTTGTTTGTTAATGAAAGGAGACGATAAAAGTGATTTGATATAGGAAGAAGAAGGGATTGTGGGTGATTGGTTTTTCCAAAAACCGCCATATAGTTTTTTAGGCTTTATTTTATTTTAATCGATTTTTTTAAAAATAAAAAATTTGAATACATTAATTAAGTGTCAGATTGGTGAAGTGACTTGTGCTTTAGTATATAAAGAATAAATTGATATTAGTTCATAGTATTTATATATGATATGACTGTAGATTCCATTAGTGTTCAATTAGTTAAATAGCCTTTTGACAAATGAAATTACAATAGCAGATATTTATTCTTTCGTCACGTGTCTGGTCAAATATTTGTGACTGTATTTCTTATTCGGATATGGGCCAATTTTTTATTGCAAATTTCAAATCACTAATGGGTCTTAACTAAAACCACATAAAACTCACTAATGGGCCATGTATGACATGTCGTGGTTATGAAGAGTAGTTATACATAAAACACATTCCTAATATACGCTTAATGAACTCATTATGTTTAGTTTTAATTAGAGTGTCATTTTTGTTAATCACACATCAACTAAAGGTTAATTTGCTATTGTTATTCTATTTTAATAAGATAGATGTCATTGAAAATTAACATTTCATTAAGAATAAATTAAGCTAAACATAAACGTAGGCTTCAATTGGTGACCATACTTTAGGAAAATAATTAGGGAGAATTTGTTGTTCCTCTAAATTTATACCAATCAAAAGAAAATTTTTGTCAATTTTCCATTCCTCAATAGGTTACCAATTGAAGCCGTAGACTATAATAGGTTTCATACATTTGATCACATATGATCATGTAGAGATTAATTACCATAAATAAAAATAAATTAATTAGAAATTCATTCAAACAATTTAAAATAATGAGTTTCATTTCTCAAATTAATTAAAAACTAAATATATTATATATTATATATTAAAAACAATAATAATAAAAACAATAAATATATATTATATATTAAATCAAATGATAAATATAATTATATAACATAATAAATCAATTATTTTTATTAACAATAAAATCTAATTTTGGTAAATATACACAAAAGTAACATAAAATATATATTTGGTAAATATATACAGAAAGTAACATAAAAATTTATTTTTGTATTTTTAATTTTATATATATATTTATATAAAATAATGGATTAAATATTTAAAGTTCATTAGTTAAAATAATGCATTAATAAATATATTATATAATCATATTATTAAAACTATTATTAAATATATAATATTATAGTCTACTAAATAAAATTAACTACACATCTCAAATTATGATTTACACAAATATATTTTCCATACAATGTAAAAAAAACCTAACTAAAAGTATTATCCGTTCTCAAAGCATATTAGAAATATATAATACATAAAAAATAAAATTGTGAACATATTTCAAATTAGAAATATATAATACATAAAAAATAAAATTGTAAACATATTTAAAACTTTCAAATTTACAAATATATATTATTAAATAAATTGAATAAAAACCTTAGATTGCATGGGATAGATTAGTAACCCAAAAATGGAAATAAAAAATAAACGAAGATTCTCTATTTTAAAAAAAAAAAAAAATATTCTTCTTTAGGAAAGTATCGAATAAATAACATATAAACACATTTTAAATTATGATTTACAAAAAAATATTTTTTTCATACGAAGTAGAAATATAAAAACAAAAATCAACTAAAACTATTATCCACTTTTACAACTACATAAACCATTTATATTAAAAATAATTTTTTTAACATATTAAAATTTTGAATGTACTAATATATATATATATATATATATATATTATAAAGATAAAACTTTCCGTCCTTAGGACGGGTATGAATCTAGTTAGTCTTTAAATAATCAATGCCTACATCAGGAAATTTTCTACAAATTTTTATTGACAAAAAATTCAGATTAATATTAGAGTAGATTTTTTTTTTAATTTAAACTAATTGTTTCTATTATATAATTAACTTGATATTTTCTCATGTCTTTTAAATGGAAGTAAAAATTTACATTCTTAAAAAATTATAATATAAATTTCATTAAAGTTAAAATAATTAAAGTCAAATAAACACCATATATGCATCACATTGAAGCTATAGGGGAGCACTATGTGGTTGATATTTGGTGTACCGTTTTTGGTAGTGATGCTTTTGGTGTTATCACCTCGTAAAATTGGATTACAGGATATGAAAGATCGATAAAAATTAGCACTTTGAAGAACTTGTCTATCTCGAGCCGATTTATTGGATAGGTCGCAAAATGGTGAAGCTATAGTCAATCGATCCTTGTACAGCTCTAGCATCTAAAAAAAAAAAATCAGTTGTGTTCCCATATGTTTCTATTGAAAAATATGAGCAAATTCTTTGATGAATTTGAGTAAGAGAGGATGGTTCTTGTCAAATGTTAGTCTTCTCCAATTTATTGATGAGGGATTTGTTCCTTTAAGAATTCAATTTCATATAGTGGGGTAGTCGGTTCATCTTTTGTGGGCAGGATACTCGATAATAGAAAAAAAAATATATATATATATATATATATATATATATATATATATAGTCTGTGCGCTACTTGCTTAAACCAATAACATTGAAAATATATTCGCCTATTTGGTTAGGCTCAATTTTATCTTCTTACTTATGTTACTTTGAAAGACCAATTCTCTACGAAAATAGAGTCAAATGAAGCGTTTTACGTGCTAAACCCCCATTATATCGTTTAAAAAAAACATTACTATTTGTTTTTTGAATCAAAGTTACACAAAATACATCATTGGTGTGACGTAAACTGAAGCAACGGTGTTGAACTATGTATCTAACCCACCAAAATATAAACTAATACAAGATATAGCAAATACTAGGAGCTTGAAGACAAAACCCAAAAAAGGCTGAGGAAGAAACAGTCTCTTCACAATGTGAACATAAGAAGCTTGAAGTGCTTGTTCCAAGGTGGAAAGGATTGTAATCAAAAGCAGATATATCGTCCAAGAACATAAAATTTCCAGGAGAAGATGGAGGAAACTGATAAGCCCATCCATAGCTGGTCGTTACTATCACATTCTAGGTTCATGATTTGGTCTGTGCCTTTGTCGTCTTCGATGGTAATTACCTGGTTGTCTACTGGAACAAGTTGAGGCATAACTGATTCCGACATGGTTTGGTCGATTTTGTCGAACCGGATCATCTTGGAACCGTTTGTAATATCGTCATTAGGCTGCAAAAAAGCGTTAGCCGCACAGATGTGTTTTCCGACAAAACGAGCAAGGCAATCAAGATCTCTTGAAGCGATACGTTACCATGTCGCAACATGCATCTACGAGACATTGATCTTGAACCATCAAACGATAATGGTTTCACAGAGTCCTTCTGCTGGGAACCTTATGGTTCGGTTTCCGGTCAAGTATAACCTCCTTCTTGTCTCTCAGATGACAAAAGCTTCTTGGAAAGAGCCGGTTCAGTCTGGGATCGCATCTGTATACCTTTGAAGTTTGAAGTCATGTTTTCAGATTGCAAACATACCACGCACACGCCAAATATTTTGAATATTAATTAACGTTTTTAGCAAATACAGTTCACTAATATATCTATCCCCTTATGATCGAGTTTCTCTTATGAGTCCCTGGGATTTCCATTTAACTTATTGAAAGAATGTAAATAAATATTAGCTCACGAGTTTTACCTTACGACTAAAACGACCAGAGCGACCAATATGATTGATTAGTGATTATGGATATACGCTCACAGATGTCCGAGTTTATTGACAAGAGAAAAAAATCAAGTCAAAATTTGGGATCAGTAGAGTAAACAAAAACTACAGACAGCATTTGTAATTAACCCAAACAATAAAGAACAGATGTAATAAAAAAACTATGACAAATGTATAATACGTAAAAATATTTGAGGGGAAGATACGTACCAATTAATAATATAAAAATTTATATAATAAACAAATATTATTACTTGTTACGTATCTTCCCCTCAAATATTTGACCAATAAAGATGGAATATATACACGACAGGACACAAACAAAACAAATATATGGAGAGATTTGTTTGAGAAAAAGGTACATTTTAATGCTACGAGTTAAACGTATATTAGAATGAGAATTTTTAACCCAAAAATAAAAGGATAGTGAATTAAATCAACAACTATGATTGACACTACTTTGACGGAGCGGAAGTTACTATAATCTGTGACATTATGTAGTCAAATTACAAAGTGAGAAGCTAAAAGCTGAAATATGTTAATAGATTTTTGTGAGTCATTGGGTGTGAATCAATTTCAGCTAACAAGCTATTTTTAATCCAACTCAAGTCATCTTTCTCTTTCTATTTACATATATATATATATATAATAATTAAATACAATCAGAGGACACTTGCTCACAATCCACCAAACAAATCAAGAGATGTTTCTGCAAAGCACAAATCTTAAACAACTCATTAACTCAACACACTGCACATCTGAATTTGTCTCTTTATTCATTATTTTCCTTCTTTTGAAGCCGCCACAAAGAGACAACAACTGTAATGTCATCAAGCTTACCTCCATAGTATCTGAACTCTGAAGCCAGCATCTGTGCTGCTGTAGAGAATGGTCCCAAAAAAATGACATAATCCCTAAAGAAGAGGTCCATTAATGTCCACAATACGAAATTAAGAAACAGAAACATGGCTTCATCAAGAAACATAAACATGACATTACATCAACACAAATCAAACGGGAGGGATGATCAAACGAATCACAACAAACAGTTTTGTAGATATGTAAAAGGGATTTCGTTACATGTTGATTTGGTGGATCGAACAACTCTGTTCCTTCTTTTCTTTTTTTTAAAAAAAAAACTCTGTCGTTTATTTGCAATAAAAGTATTATGGGGACCCTAAATGAAACAAAAGAATAATCAGAGGGGGAATCTCCTCTGACGAGTCACAACTCATGGCGGCTAAAACCTTAGCTCCGTTCATCTTGACACTGTCTCTTGTTCCCAAAAGCTTTTACTCCCTTCCTCTCCTTCCGGTGTCTCTCAGTGACTCGCCTAAGGTCTATCCTCGCAGCTCGAGCCATGACTCATGAGCTCTCAGTCGAGTCAACGCGTCCTTCCAGCTCAGACAAGACCCCCTCACCGGCAAATCGGAGTGGATTGTCATCAAAGAGAATGACCAAGCCGGTGCTCTCAGAAACTTCGACGACGGACGGCATCCTCGCGACGACATCATATCTGGACATGCTCAATGATGATTCTCGCCGCAACCGAGCTTACTGTCTTGCAGTCGAGAAAACTATCACCGAAACATGCCACGTCCTTGACATTGGGTTCTCATTTTCGTAACTCATTTTGATTCACTTTCACCGATTTTTGTTTTGATTTTGAGCTGACGTTCTTGGAAGTATAAGTGCTCATGATTAATTATACTTCTATAAACACAGTCAGGGTATTACTATAAACACAAGTGCTTCTTTCTTCATTGCTGTTCCTGATTAAGTAAGCGAAATATTGGATAGGCGGACAGCGGATTCAAAGCAAAGCTCAAATGCGTGAATAATAGCAGCACAGCTAAATAAAATATACAGATCCAGCTTTTCATTCACGAGCAAGTCTATGCATGTTACTATATATACATTCATTTAAGTTATGTGGACTCGAATTTATGGTTACGTTACTCTCATCCATCGGTTTTTTAACCTCAATACTCCTAGATACTTTCATGTTCCTCAACAACAATAGTAAGAAACGTCTAGTACCTGACCCAGGAAACAGCCAACAGAGTAAGAAGAAATGATGCTAAAAGTCCGGGGAATGTTGCTTCAACACTCATAGCTCCCTCGGTTCCTCTTGGGACAATTTTTAAACGCTGTGGCTAAATACCTGCAAATTTGCACCAGTTAGTAGCAATTGGACAAAATGCATGCAGGACATTTCCGTAGTCAACTAGATTCATGCTATGCCATCGCAAGTTCATTGACACAAGTTCGACAGAAAAGTGACCCAAATCTTAGCCTACTTGCTCCAAGTAACACAAACCGTTACAAAAGAGGCAATAGCTGAACAAGAGTAGCATACTCACGTAGTTTTTCCATAAGCTTTCCCTATGAGAATGGAAACCGAAACCAGGCCGGAAAAGTTGGGACAAAGCTCCTCCTCCCACTTGATATATATTGAAAGAAAAGTACAGACACAAGCAGACCAATCACACTGCGTGGTCCTTTCCTATCGTTTCTCTTCTCGGCCACGCCTTGTGCTTCCTTTTCCTGACATTTTAACTTTTGTTGCTGCTGGTCCCTGTGATATTGTAAATCATCCAAACCAACTTTAACGCCCGAAAAATGAATTGCAAATTTAGTGTTACTCTTTCCAGCTCTCGGTAGGTGAAACAAGATAATTAAAATTTAAAGCTTGAAGGAAATTTACAGAGTGGAGAAGAATCAACTGAATGTTGAGCATGATCAGACGACCTAGTGTTAATCTACGGAGTCAACACACTGCCTATATTACAAAGCTTTCCAAAATTTCAATACAATTTTCAAAACCAAGATCAAGCCTAAGAATAAGGTCAATCAAGAGAAAAATCTCTAAAATATCCAATTATGCATTTTAAACTTGGATCACAACTCATACACTAACCGTTAACTCAGGCAGCTAAGTAATTTATCAAAATTCTAAGGACATTCCTCATTCATGTGCTCGAAATCAAAAACCAAATAAGCAAATTTCTCTATTTTAAGAGTCAGCTATCAAGTTACGGCCAAGTTCATTAGCAAGTGCACTTACTATGAAGAAGTTAGCAGCGACTAAAAGGAAATCAGTAGAGAGCCATAACTCGGCCAAGTTGAAGTACCCAGTAAGAATGCGGCAGCAATTCCGGAAGCGGACAATCCGGTAAAAAGAAGCGGTGAGCCGAGAACACAAATCAATAAAATGTTACGATGAGCCGACTAGATCAGCTCCATCATCATCCCTTGGAATTACGATGTCCAAAAATCGGGAATCTCTCAGAGAGGGGCCGCCAAGGATAAAACTTTTAAAAAACATTTATTATAGGGTTTATTATAAGGTTAGGCATATAACTAATTAATAGATATGAGCCTTCGTATGTATCGAGGCCCATATGGTTTATAATTTTATATGTATGTAACAATAACGAGGTAAACTTTAAAACTTAAAAAAACCATTGATTTATTATCGAGCCCATTTGGTTTGTATGTGACTAAGATCTCTCTTCATCGAACCCTAATTTCGTCTCTCTCTTCAATGTCTTTTTTATTTTCGCCGGACGACGACGGCGCTCCGGCGACCGTGACCGTAGACACTATTCGACAGTGGCCCGATGTGTTACAAGCAGAAGTTAGGAAGGTGGAAGATGAAGTTACAGCCGCCGATGAGAAATACAACTCCATCGTCAGGGATTTCTCGTCGATTAAACAAGCTTATGCAACATTTCTTGAAACTTTCGATGATGGACTAGCCGAACACGTTGCTTCTCAGAAGCAAAATCATCTACATGATTTGACGGTACATCTTTTTGTTTTTGTGTGATTTGAGTGTTTCTTTTTGGGATTTGACTGAACTGGTTCTATGCAGATAAACTATCCAAACTATCCAGAGTTACTGATGCGAATGGATAAGATTTCTAGAGATATTTCGAACCTGCTTAACTCTCTGCAAGAACTGATAAAGTTGTTGGAGCTGACTAAGAAGACAAGTTTTACTATATACGACGATTTGTTGAAAAGTGTGAGTGAGGAGTCTTATTTTCTGTTTTATTGAATCATGATTTGATTTTTTCAACCATATAACTAACGGTAATTTTTAATTACAATAGGATGAAGAACTTGATAACTTCACAGACCAACTGTCACCGACTCTTGCAGCCACTCTTGCTTCCTCTCTTAATTCTGTGGGGGAACGTCTGTATGCTATCTTTATATCTTTCGATACCTCCATGGAAAGACTGAAGAAATTTCAAGCAGAAGCAGTAATCCCTTTTTATGAAAGGGAAATCAATGCCTATAGAGCTGCCTTCACTTGTTCTCCGGTGAGTTTTTTTGTTCTTTTCCTTTTTCTTACTTGACTGACTATTAATTGTAAGTTTGACTATTAATTGTTTCTTGTTTCCTTTGCAGTTAATTCATGTTATTAACAAAAACAGATTCCCTATACTAAAACGGTTTTGCGATGGTGACATGAGAGTGATTGTGAGGATGAGTCAATCTGATTACGACGTCATTGACGAAGCTCTGGAGTATGTGGAGTATAAGCAGCTTCGATTCATATTCGGTCGGACCCAAACTCCAACATCACATTAATTGGCTGCAAATTTAATATAAAATTTGCACATTGGACCGCCAAAAAGGTAATGATCAAATAAAATATTCTTTTGTGTATCTAGATTATTCTAAGGTTTTCTTAATAGTTACTTATTGTTTACGGTTTTGCTTCTTAGGATCATATACAGATGTCAATGATAAAGGACGATCTATGGTCAGAAAAGATGGGCCCTGTCAAACAGCAAGGCAACCACGGTATGTCAATATACTTTGTTCAATTAATCTTATTTTAAATAATAAAAGTATTGCTTTAACCTTTTTTTTCTTTTCTTTTAGATTGTTGTTGGGCAGTTGCATCTGCAGAGGTTGTCTCCAATGTGAGACACGAATTGGGGCATGACACGACTTACGTTGAGTATTCGGTTCAATACCTGGTGGATTTCACAAGACCGGAGCTACGTCGCCTTTCTAGAAAGACAGCCCATTTTTGCTATCCTCTGCATGTGAAGAAAGCATTGGACTTCATCAGCCAGAAAGGAATTGAAAGAGAAGATGCACGCCCTTTTAGCAAGGATGTCTGTAAAGAAGATGTAAGTCCAGTCCAACCTTCAAATGTACTCGCATACATCAAAGAAGCAATCACAGTGGATAAAGTTGACGAGGTTGTTGAAATATTACGCAAGCATGCCATTGCGTGTGATATTCCGATCTTTGAACCAGAGTATAGTGGAATAGAAGATGTAAGTTCTAAACTTTCTAAAATTCAAACATGCATGTTCTAGATATACTGAGAAATCAGATTTGTTTTACATATCAATTTCTTTTTCCTTTGCAGAAAATTTACAGGGGACCTACTTCTCGGATTTCCAGATATGTCGCACAACATTCCGGAAACCTTGTCGGTGGGGGAATAGATGACGGGGAGAAGTATCTTCGTTTTAGATCAAGTCACAGTGAGGACTTTGGTCTCAAGGGAACCATGAAAGTTTCAATGGAAGCTATGTTGATGTGCCTCAGTAGTCGTTCATCACGTATTGAATGTGGTGTTGACTGTGATTTGACTATGGAAGATCCATTTCCCCTCATGACTAATTTTGTTTACCCGTCGCTGTTGTCAAAGGAAGAAGAAGAGAAGAGGAAGAAAGACCAGGGATCAAGTAGTTCTGGAAGACCCGAGTGATTTTAGTTTTGATTGATATGAGTTTGTTAGTATGTCTTTGTTATGACTCAGTTATTTGCGGAACAGAAAAGATAGAATTGTGTCAAACATTTCTTGGTTGCTTAGATTTCACTTTTTGGGTTGAATTGATTTCCGGTTTAGCGCTTGACGATTTTTAGACTTTTCAGTTTCTTTAGAAATTTGTGTATGTCATCTGAGGTTAGCTAAGAAAGCCTTATCAGCAAAATTATTGGCCTCACATTGATTATGTGCGTTTCTCCTCACTTTTGGAAAAAATATTAAGTGTCCTTCTATGTCATGTATATGCTATTTTTGCAAGGAAAAGACAGAAAAGTACATTCAAGCAAGGCGTATCTACATTGCGGAATAGCAGAAAAGGTCTGTACACGCTTTCTTCCTGCTCGTATAATTGAAGCAAAGTATATATTCATTCCCTAAATCTTCCAGACAATCCTTTAGATAATATAGTTAATCAGGTAACCATCATCTACACGTCTCTGTTGTTTAAAAACGATCAGTTCTAGTCAGATTATAATATGGATACATTTACGCTTTGCAGCAGCTCTTGGTTATAGATGAGTCTCCTTTAATTATATGGAATAATGCTTTGTGTGGATGGTGTTGAGTGGTATATATGAATCCTTTATCCAAGTTATGGCACCTAGGGGGCGTTGATTGTAGACTTTCTAGTATCGAAAGGCTTAAATGTGCGGTTAAATTTAACTTTTGGAAACTTAAGAATTAATGTTCCTAAATTGCTATTGCCGTTTTAATAGCAATATATACAGCAATTGTTGGAGATGGTGCTGGTGTGGGGAAAGGGCGGACAATTGCTGGGTTGATTTGGGGATTACATCCTTGATTAGATGTTGATAACTCAATTCAATCTGGCTTGTGAGCATACTATAAATGCATAATTGTGCCTACAGTGTCCCTTGTTTGGTCTCTTAAATGACATAAAGTGGGATGAGATGAGTTCTAATTATCTTTTCTCCAATTTCTCTATGATTTTAGATACGTGGATTTCTGTTGGCTCAGACTTGAAGTACGATGCAAGTAGTAACTTTGATGATGTGGGTGCCACATGCGTTGGAGGTAATATCTTGACTTTGGCTATCAATTTGAGTTTGTAATTCGCTTATTTTGCGGGGTCCAAAATGCTCGTGTGTTAAACATAAAGCTTATTCTAGATGCTTTTCCTGGCTCATCGTGTTTTGATAGTGTATGGTGTAGACTGGATCAGAATGAGATTCTGTTTTAGCTGATTGCTTAAATCGACTCATTCTGTACTATTACGATGTAAAGTATATATGTATTAGTTCCGGGATATTAAAAAGAACTTATTCTCTTTGCTGATAAACGTAATGGGTTTCTGAACTCCGTCTATGGTGTCGTCATACCCAGAGATTGTTTTGCATAGCGGAAGTTTGTGCAGTTCATAATGATTTAAACTAGGACAGTAGTCCACTTGGATTTGTGATTCTCAATCTCGTTAATTTTTATAATATTGAGCCTGGAAATTTCCAGTCAAGTGAACATAGAGTGTACAGTCTGATTAACAATTGTGTTTCTTCTGCTACTAAGTTTACGTGCAGTGGATCCTTTGAACAAGTTGCCCTATTCTAAGCTTGACTCAAAGAATGTTGGTGTTAAAGACGGAGTGGTATTCTTGACATACAATAGTCTCATTGCTTCCTCTGAGAAGGGGCGTTCTCGTTTGCAGCAACTTGTTCAGTGGTGTGGACCAGAATTTGATGGTCTCTTGATCTTTGATGAGGTAGCTAATTCATGAATGATGTATATTTTAATTCCTTAAGTGTTAAAGATGGTTCTTCTGCTCGTTTTGGTGAATTGAACAGTGTGAAAGCATGCCCTGTCGTGGTTAACTGCGTGATCACTGGTTTTATCAATTTTGAGCGGTGCTCTAATCTTTAGTACGTTATGCAGCTTAATCTACTTAAGGTTTTCCTTTTATGTAGTGCCATAGAGCAAAAAATTTGGTACCTGAAGCTGGGAGTCAGCCGACACACATCAGGCAGGCAGTTGTTGACATTCAGATCTGCTACTTGGAACCGAAGGCCTGACTACACTGTTCTTATTTCATTAAACTTTTTTTTTATGTTGGCTCTGAAGAGTGATATTAGATACTCTAACTTGGTTTTGTTTCGGATTACTTCTTCTCAGCTGCAGATGGTATGGTTTATGTTCTAGTTTGGAAAGCTTAATAGTGGTTAATATCTTCTAGTTGACTAGAGATTGTGAATTTTGGAAAAGCAGGATAAGATCCCCCAAGCAGGTGTTCTTTATTGCTCTGCTACTGGTGCATCTGAACCACGAAACAGTTACTAATTGAATGGTGCTTTGGTACTTTTTGGCAAGCAAGTTCACTATTTATTGTCCCCTGTTTCTAGTTTCAGAGATCCCTGTATAAATTAAACGTCAGGGTATTTGTGTTGAATTACTTGCTGTCTTCTGTAGGCAATGTACAATAAGTCTGCAGAGTTTTGGGCAGAGGTACGGATATAGATGTTGTCAGCAAGTGCTTTTCTCCCTAACGAGAAACCAAATTCTAGTCATTTGTGGAGACTATACTGGTCAAGCCATCAGGTATAAATTTCCAGAAGTAACAGTTAGAAAGTGTTATTTCAGATGATGATTGTCATCTTAATCGCAGAGGTTGATCGATCTATATCGTGTATGTTACTGCAGCGTTTCTTTAGACACTTGTGTATGTCAGCTAAAGTTCCTGTAACTGTAAGGTTAGCTAAGAAATCCTTATCAGCAAACAAGTGTGTGGTTATTGGCCTTCAGAGTACGGGTGAGGCTCGTACTGAAGAGGCTGTAACAAAATATGTGCGTTTCTCCACACACTGCTTTTGGAAAAATAGTTAGTATCTTTTCATGATTCCGTCTTAACTAATTTCGACGTGATTGATTATGTTGTCCCCCTTTTTCTTGCAATAGGGTGTTGAGCTTGATGATTTTGTCTGGGGGTCTCGAGAGCTCCTGTTGAAATTCGTGGAAGAGAACTATCCGCTGCCCGAGCAGCCTGAACCACTCTCAGGTAACTTAATGCTCTCTGTCAAAGTTTTTACTTTTGAATCCCTGTTGGCGTTTATCTCTTGTTCATAGGTTTCCTCTTTTTTGACCTTTTACAGAAGATGATAGTGTTAAAGAACTTCATAGGAAGAGGCATTCAGCTTCACCTGGTGTTTCAATTGGGGCGAGAGTAAGAAAGATGGCAAAGTGGAAACCAGATAGTGATGATGATGAAAGTGATTTGGAGTCTGAAGGTGGGTTTCATAGTGAACAGACACATTCTTGATGCTTAGGCTGAAGGGACAAAACCACATTCTTTTTGCTCTTTTGTCTCTTTGCATATCCCTAATGCTCTGAAGATCTAATTGCGTTATGAACAATGGCCTAAAAGGACTTCAAGTGTTGGCTTTTGGGGTATTAGTTAATTTGGAAATATGTTCTATTTGTCTGCAGAAAAAGAAGGGTTCATTTGACGTTAGAGCTTTTTGAGTGCTGATCGTGCAATTCAGCAATTTGGAAGAACTCACCGGTCGAATCAGACATCTGCACCTGAATATAGGTTAGCATGACAACGTTTGTGTAGTTGATTTTGTATCTGTCCAGTTGCAAAAGTACATGCTACCTTTTCAATTTAAAAGGTCTGATAACAGTTGGTGAAGTTGATGCGTTCTCTTTTTGTTGCCCTCTCAGGCTACTTTTCACAAATCTCGGTGAGGAACGCCGCTTTGCCTGTATTGTTGCAGAGAGACTAGAAACTCTTGGTGCTTTAACACAAGGAGATCCCAGGAAAGTCATGCGCCTCTCTAAATCATTTCCTAGTTGGTTGTCCGTTGGCTTGTTATTACTTGAAACGTTGCCAAGTATTTTGTCTCAAAATATGGTATGGTGTATTACTGCAGGGCCGGGCCTTCTTTGAGTGCCTATAATTATGATAGTAACTTTGGTAAAAAAGCCCTGATGGTGATGTATAGAGGAATTATTAGGAATAATGGATAGAGCGTGAAATATAGTATGGCTTACTTTTCAGGAGGAATTACCCCTTGTTCCTCCTGGGTGCTCGACTGATGAACCAGAAACAATTGAAGAGTTTTTAACCAAGGCAAGGGCTGCTCTTGTTGCGGTTGGAATTGTTTGGGACAGTGTTTTGGGTAAGCTTTGCTAGTTATTTCATTTTTTCCGTATTGGATATAAATTCTATTTGTAGTAGTCTCCTAGTTACCTTACTTCATTACTGATGATACAGCCAATGGGAAAGACGTTGGAAAGTTATCAGGACGTATTATTGATTCTGACATGCATGACGTTGGACGATTTCTGAGTCGCCTCTTGGGATTGCCACCTGATATTCAGAATAGGTATTGTGCGTCAAATGAAAATTAATGCTTTGCAGTACTAGTTGTTTCAGTTCGCTTTAATGCTTTACTCTCCTGCGCTGTGCAGGCTGTTTGAATTGTTTACTAGTATATTAGATGTTCTTGTACATAATGCTCGAATTGAAGGAGTTTTGATTGGGGAATCGTGGATCTGAAAGCTAATAGCGTTGAGCTGCTGACCACTCCGAAGGTTGATACTAAAGAGAGGGTATCTAATACCTTATGTTAAAACTAAAAGCATTTATCAACAGACAGATTAAGTATTTGAAAATCAATTGGAAACGTCTCAAGTTCTTATGTTACACATCTTTCACGTCACCTTCTTCGTATCTACCTTCACATCCGAATTTTTTGACAGAGATCGCGGGAAGAAGGAATTATTATGGTTCTTTTTTGTTTTTTTATTTACGGTAGAAGGCACAACGCTTTAATATGTGTTGAGAGTTGAGACATATAGGTGTTGCTGAGACATATTAAGATTGGAGTGTCCTTTTTTTTTGTTTATTTAATTGTCATTCTCAATCCATACGTAGAAAAGAAGAATGCAATGAATATACTATAGAAACATTACAGTATCTTCTTTTTTTTTTCCTTACAGTTTGATACTCTTGAAGTAAATTTCCGTTTATCGTTGTGAATTGTGAGGCAATTTTACTGGTAGACTCGAGCTTAATTAAGAAAAGACTTTAGAAAGACGCACCAAAGTCGATGAACATATTTGTTGTTGTGCTCTACCTCTCAATCTTCAATCAAGAGCAGTTAAATTGTGGGACACAATCTCAACCGCACGTTCGATTTCCTCCTCCGATATAATCAAAGGCGGAACAATCCTAACGACATTCCCTTTCCCTGCCGTCAAGATCAGAAGACCAGAATCACGGCAAGCATCGACCAATGGATTTGCCGGCACATCGAGCTCCACTCCTATGATAAGCCCTTCTCCTCTCACTTCCTTCACGTGCGAGTTTCCTCCTAATTTCTTCACCAACAGATCCTTAAAGTATAGACCTTTGCTTGAGACACTGGACAAGAAAGACGGTTTGGATACTTTATCAAGTACAGCGATGGCTGCACTGCACACAAGAGGGTTCCCTGCAAATGTGCTTCCATGATCTCCATATTTGATGGTCTCAGCAACCTTTTCAGTAACAAGCACCGCTCCAATTGGTAAACCACCGGCTAAAGGTTTTGCAACCGTCATTATGTCAGGAGTTACACCGAATGCTTCATATGCCCAAAGGTTACCCGTTCGACCCAAACCACACTGAACCTGGAGAAGTAGAAGAGATCAAAAGGAGAGGAAAAGAGAAAACCCGTAGCCAGCAAAGGGGAACCACCACTATGTATGTACCTCATCGAAGACGAGAAGAGACCCTGCAGCATCACAAGCAGAGCGAAGAGACTGGAGAAACTCTTTTGTAGCAGAGTAAACCCCGCCTTCTCCTTGAAGAGGCTCCACAAACACAGCAGCTATTTTACCCGAGCGGATAAGATCTGTGGCGGCTTGAATGTTACCGTATTCCACGAATGTTACGCCTGGCATGATGGGTTCGAAAGGAGTTCTGTACTGTTCTTTGCTTGTCAGGGCAAGAGCTCCTAAGGTTCTACCATGGAAACTATTTGTAAAGGCGATGAAGCCTGTCGCGACTCCTTTGTCTTCAGGATGGGTGAATCTTTGGAACTTTCTCGAGAACTTGATGGCTGCTTCGTTGGCTTCTGTTCCAGAGTTACAGAAGAATACACGGTCTGCGAAAGAACTTGCCACAAGGCGTTTTGCTAGCTCTATCTGCAGACAAGTTAAAAAAAAAAACATCAGAATATATGAGCTTGAAGGTATACACAAATATTAAGAATGCCATATAAGGTCTAGACATTAAACTAAACCAACGTGACTAGTGCTCTGTCCTTAAAAATCCTCCATGTAGCATTAAAGCTCGTGAAAACATCTCGACGATAAGATCCTAATGCGAGTAGCAGACGATATCAACCAGAGAAACAGACAACTAGTTACACATAATACATAAAAATATTAAAGCAAACCAGAAAAGCTAACACCCAGAAGAAAGGCTTATCTTATCGGTGTTATCTCTCAAGGAGGGCAGATAAACAATTCAAGTTTGATGATATCAAATCCTTTTTCAAGCAGCATGCATGAAAATGATGAGTAGATTATTAATCCCAGCTTATTCGTGTTTATGCTTTGTTGATAAGTATGTGGATTTTCGCTGCAAATTACCAAAAGTTTTTGGTGTGTAGGTCCCGCAAGTAACAAAGGAAATTGTTATAGCTGTTCTTCATATGTATTGATATGGGTGCAGTGCACAACTACAAATTTTATACTACACAAGTTGTAAGTGCATATCAAACGAAGTAGTACTTAGGAATCAAATCTATAGGAATTTGTGTGTTAAGAATTTTAAGTTGATGCTAATAGCGACTGTAGACCTAATTAATCAGATTAAAGGTGGATTTTTGTACCATAATTTCTAATAAAATAAGAAAACAATAAAACTAAATGCAAGAGATTGTAAATAAATAGATAAAAATATTGGGTATTATGGATTCTCTCTACGATTCATGATCTATAACATAAGGAACTTAGATAAGGATTTTCTATCATTCCGGAACTAGAATAGACACAGGTAAGATTATCCAATTATTGTCACATTTACGATCTAATCACTCAAACTCGACCAATAGCTTTCTTGTCTGGAAGCAAGAGAGATCATGTGTTAACTAAACAGAATTCATCTCGGCTCACGCCCCCTCTGTAGGTAGCTTTTGTCTTGTATGATGGTTACGTCCATAAGATCCAGATTAGGTAATCTGATACATCACTGTCGTGGCTCTGATTAAACCTTAGATCAGATGCTAGGTGATCAATCCAGCATACAACAAGGATCGGGATGAATGAGAGAATCATCTCAAAAATGAAATCCTTAATCTAATAAACCTAGATTTTTTTGATTATAAGGTCTTCATTGATTAACCATTTTACCCAACAAGGTCACTACTCAGACATAGCTGAGTTTAACATCATTATTGGTTTTAAAATAGAAAGCAGTAAAGTAAAAGATAAAGGATAAAGAAAAGATTCTCCTATTAAAGAAAGAGTTGGCGAGAAAGCCTTCTATTGCATAAAAGTAATACATAGACCTAAAAGATGGTATTCTATTCTAAGCATGAAAAGAGGCAAGTTGTAAAGGACCTATAAAGAGAATATATTTATAGTCTCTCCTCTCCTTAGGGCGTCTAGGGTTTGCAAAATAAGTGCAGAAAGTGACTTGGGCTTCTAAGACTCGGAAATAGGTCCACCAAGGGTGAGAGGGTCGGAACCACGGTGCAGACTTTTTCGACCACGGGTGAGAAGTGTTTTACCTTCCGGACTATGTTGATTTGCCTTCAGTGCATTAGGGGTACCTGGAGTTCTAACCGTTGGCTTGCATCCATTCACATTGCATTGGAAATAGCTTTGCATTGGAAAGCTAGTTATGTCCTCTATAACATCTACAAATCTGGTGATGATCAGACGACAAGAAGGGTTTTTGGTTACAAAACTTTTGACTGTCTGAGTTTATCCAAAAATATACTTTTGTTCTAAAATGCACACCTTAAGTCCCAGTTTCCTGAAAAATCTTTAAAACTCTAAAACATATAAATCACTTATAAAACATTGAAAACAGAGTTAAAACACATGCACAAGACATTAATAATAATTCATAAAATTGATAAAAAAATCCGGTGTTATCATATATCCAACACTTTTATCTCTTGCTTCTGCCTATTACCATCTACTAAGCCTTATTGCCTTTTGGCTGAGATCTAAAAATCTATACTACTTTATAACACCAATTTTGAGCTACAAAATCTCTCTCCAATTTGCCTTTTGAAGGAAGGGAATATGTCAGGTCAAGATTAGATGTTGAGACATTGAAGCAAAAATTTAATCTCTACATCAGCTAGTAAGAATATATTCAACTTCGTTTGGGGTGAATGACTATAGAGTCTAGAGAGATATAGAAAAAGTTTATCATAATCAGATCATAAACATATATAATTGTTCGTAACGAGAAGCCGAGCGTAATACTTCTACTATACGAGTACAAAATTCTAACCAATAAAAATACTGCTAATATTATTTCTGATAAATACTTGAAAAAATATTCTTCTAATATAAAAGGAAAATTACAGCATATAACTTAATACTAGGTGGTTGCCTGTGCCAAGTGCGGCTAATATATGTTTTAAAATCTAGTAATGAAATAATTTTAACTTAACTAAAATAGACATATTTAACAATTATAATTTTTTTAAAGTGTATATAATGCTATTAATATAATTTTTTTACTTAAATATCAGATTAAGCAAAAAAAAATCGTTATACAAAAACATTACAACTTCCGTAATAGGTACTCATTAACTTATTAAGAATAAATTAAATTATTTCCATGTAAACTAAATCATTTAAAATTTGTTCGAAAGAATTAAAAAAAAACAATGACAAAATGTTTTTAAAAATAAGACAATGAGGTCGCTCTCATCAATTTTTATTGTGGAAAGTTGTTGCACTCTTTTCATTCTTTATCTTCTGCCAGATCCTGAAAATTCGAATAGAAGTGAATTTTCATTAATATTTATCCAAAGAAATTTTGTCTCAGAAATTAGATTATTGGCTTAATAACATTTCTTACTTTGCTCAATAATTTGAAATTTTATCTATTGCTGGAGAAGCCATAAAACAGAATGTCATTCCTCTTGATGATCTTGGATGGTTATTTCCTCTAAATGTTTTCAAATAATTAGACCCGTAGATGATCATTAAGATCAAATGTAAAAACTACAAAACTTGTTAACATATATCACATACCACCATTCTTCCTAACTCACCAATCCTTTAAGACACATCAAGCAAACACACCATCGAATCCAACAGATGTTTATTTGATCTCAGTAGCAAAGTCACCATGTGCAATGCATTTGAGGGTTAACCCCATTGGATTATAAAAAAATATCTAATTAATCAGTTGAATATTTAAAATTATGTAGCTATAAAATTAGATTTACTCACCGTCTCTAATACAGAATCAAAGTGTCAAGACCATCTTACCATCCGGATAAACAACAGAAACGACTTCCCTTTATTTTATCGAGTACCCCTATAAAATCTGTGTTTTAAAATCGATGATTCAAATATAATCAATCAAAATAATGAAAATTTTCCATACAACTCAACAAAAGTAAATTATTTGGATATACGATATATAAAGCGTGCATAAGAACTATAAATATCTGAATAATAATGATTCATTGGATGTATCTCTTAGTTTCTACTGCAACAGAACAGCGTTGAGATTGTAATATTAAAGATTTGAAATCGAGAGGACCAGTGTTACTCTATGACTCTACGAGGACTGAAACAAAGCTAAGAGAAAAGATGTTTTCATTGTGACTTTAACGACAAGTAAAAGCAAACTAGAAATGATTTAAATTCGAATTAAAACAAGCACTAAACTAAGGAAATTTGCAGGAGTTTCAGAGATAAAAATCAAACGACTATTCAGGGCACAATTTAAATGCAGGTATTGAACTCAAACATAAATGCATATCGACCAACTGTCGTAGCACCAATAACTTTGTCTAACAACAAATCGTCGTTTGAAGAACATAAAAATCGCAGACAAGCATTAACAAGTAGGTTTGATATGTTCACGATTTGCTTTAATATCAACTGTCGTTGGCTAAGGACAAATCACTCACCAATGTTTTTTTCTAGCAATCTATTACATTTTTGATGAACAGGTTAACCTAAAATCGCAGATTGAGTAATCAATTCAAACTAAGAATTACGTTTAACAATGGTGAAGACAAATCGATATTAAGCCCTATTTGCATCTAATTCCCTAACTCATGAAATCCTTTGGAAACTTTAATCTAGCTAAGAGATCTACTCAGACATGGAGAAAAGAGAAACAGCAAAACATGAAAAAGAATTCATGAATAAAAACAGAAGATAACAAGGGTTCAGAATTTTTTTCTCAAGTGTTGCAGGAATTCTTCTCCCCAAATCTTACAAGCAAAAACTCTCCAAAAGTCTAGAAAAGTGTAAAAGAAAGCGTAAGTGAAGTTCTGTAAAACGTCATTCTGTTTTTGAAGCGGCTCTAGTCTTTTATTCTCTTCATGCGTCCCATAATTAGGTAAAAATCGTTTTCCTTATTTTTTTTCAGGCGGTTGGAGCAGCTGCTCCATGAAAAGGCTTAGTCGGGAGCAGGTGCTCCCGACCAAGAATGATCCAACTTTGTGTAAATTGACCTCTTTTGCTCAGCTTCAGCTCCTTTTTGCTCCAATGCTACCAGTTACTCCAATTCCTTCCTAAAGCCTCCTAGTTACCTGAGAAAACCTGAAAAAGACTCCAAATACTACTAAAATGATCAGTATAAACGGGTTAGAATGAGTCAAAATTGCCACTTATCAAATCCCCCAGACTTAAACCTTTGTTTGTCCTCAAACAAACTAAAATCTAGTTCCAGAAAAATTGATTAGACAATGGTGGAAACTCGCAAAAACTCAGAAGACCGTAAATTTTACCACAGCATGCGGACGACCTGTTGCAACATCAATCCAAATCGAACCTCCATGTACTACTCCGCAGACATTGCATGATCTCAGATTAGATCCATAATTTCACGACATTATCCATATCCCATCATCGCTAGATCTCACTGATGAACCCAATGTCAAGGACCTTCTAGACTCATTCCCATACTATACCACGACAAACTTACCATA